AGAAGGTTACAGCTAACTGGTCTAGTTTATTAGACCAATCAAAATGCTCCAAATTGAATCTTCGTTTAGATTTGTCAACTTAAAGCGAAAGGTAGTCATGATCGTGATTGGCTGTCTTAAATGATTGAAGCAGAAGTTGTTGTGAGCTTAATGGCTTAACTATTTAGGCAGCATAACTTCAGTAGCTTTTCGATTGAGCTAATTATAAATTTTTTAATTATCTTCAAATGCACATTTTCAAACATCGGATAATTTATTTCATAATATGGACATTACATACATTTTACTACAGCAAATGTGTAGTTTTAGATGCTAGTTCAATTAGAGATGAAATCGTGGAAACGCTGTTCGCTAATTACCAGAGTCATGTTCGCCCTGGAGAGCTTATTCGTAATACAACAGTGGTAACAGTTTATATATCTGTATCCGCCATAACATCTGTAGATGTACGAAATATGGAATACACTATTGATATGTTACTTCGTCAAGCATGGTATGATCCTAGACTAGCTTGGGACCAAATCGATAAATTCAAACACTATACGAAAAACATTGTTTCTCCGGTTTTCAAGGAAAAAATATGGCTACCAGACTTGTTCTTTCGAAATGGTAAGGAGGGTCGATTGCATAAAATGACCTGTGAGAATTTACTGATACGCATACAACCAAACGGTGAAATATTGTATAGTCAAAAGATCACCATGCGCATGGCCTGTCAAATGGAATTACGGACATTCCCTATGGATACCCAAGAGTGTGATATGAATATTGGAAGTTATGGTTATACACTAGAACAAGTAAGCTTTGTGTGGAGGAACATATCACCAGTCACTTTACCAGAAAATTTGCAGATATCAGAGTTTGACCCACCTGAATCGGTAAGAGCTTATGATTGCACAAGTGGATACAAAACGTCAACTGGACAGTACACATGTTTAAATGCGACTTTTACGCTACAACGGCAGTTGGGTTACTGGTTGGCAAGTACCTATATACCAAATATTCTTATAATGGTTGTTTCATGGTTAAACTTTTGGGTTAGTTTAGAAGCGATTCCAGCCAGAGTAAACTTAAGTTTGTTAACATTGCTTGGTGTAATAACTCAATCGACCAGTTACGCAAGTTCCCTCCCTAGGGTGTCATATATCAAAGCAATCGATATTTGGACTATAGCATGCATAACTTTTAACTCCGGAGTATTACTTGAGTTTGCGATTGCTTCTCATCTTGCTAGGCGTCAAAAAGTATCCGAATGGCAGGTAGAAGTTCGAAAGCTAGTTAGACGTGAACTAGCAAAGTGGTGTTCTGCTTGTCAACTACAATATGCACAAAGGGGACCATCTGCGCTCTCAGCATACTCAGCTTCAAGTAGATCAAATGAGAAAGTCAGTGAATATATCAACTCAGTAGTTGCTGCTGCTTTCGCCATTCAGAATAGCCCTGTACTAGAAAGACCAAGTCCTCAAATGTCTGTTCGTCTAACAAAATCAGGTTTAATGTCAATGGCTAATATCAAATCAGGAAAGCCAGATAAAATGTCAAAGGGTGTTTTTTATGAATTGGTTGCCAATGATTCTGCCCTTACAGCATTAGATACAACACAAAAGGATGCTCTCCTGCCACCTAATGAACCACAACGCGTTAAGAAACCAGCGTCGATGTCTAAAATAGACAGCTACAGTCGATTCGTTTTTCCAGCATGCTTTTTACTTTACAACTGTTTTTATTGGCTTTATTATTTAGTGATTGTCAAGCATAAATAGGAAAATAAATAATCAATGACAACTATTTCCCATACCTCATAAATCATTCCTTCATTGAACTGATAATTTTGACGAACAGGAAATTTTATGTACTCCTCTTAGTAAATGTTTGCTCAATTAAATCTCCATTGTGTCAACGGATAGCAGGTAACTTATAATTTTAAATTTTTGCCCTTAATCAGTATTAATTGAATTAACTATTTATAATACCAACTAGTTCTGTTATATACTTTGAAACTTCAATTTCTCATTCAGTAAGCCTGTTCTAAATTTTCAGATAAAACTTCCTTTCTTTTCTATAATAATAAAAGTAGTATCAAATAGTGTACAATGTTACTTTTAAAAATTAACTTGTTGGCATTTTATACCACTTCGTTTATTGTAGTTTTTTCCTCTTTCAATAACTAGCTGTAACATCGTAGTAAAAAAGTGATGGTGATTACCATAGATATGTTCAATGACATTTACACTAAATCGTAGAGCATAAAATAATTTATAGTCGCTATATCAACCAAAAAATTTCATTTTTGTAATAGTCCTGGATATTCAATATATATACACTTATATTGTATTCACATTCTTAGTGTACATGTTTTATTCCAGTATCTAAATGTAATCTCTAATTAGTCACTGTAGCATAATATTTGAATAAACAATAAGGTGTTGCTAAGTTGTTACCAAGATCCCATATTGTATTAAGGATAAACAATCTGTTATGAACAATAGATTGCGTTTATAATTCACATATTACATGGTTAACAGATCACGAAAACAAGTAGGACTAGCAGATACAATACTGAAAACATAATGTTGACATACTTCCTGCTTGTGTAAATAAGAATCACATTATATTCTTAAGAAGTATAATTTTAAAAAAACTCATAAAAGCAACCATAGAACATAAATTCTCCTGTTGTAATGTACAGTATTGGAGTTTATGTTTCAGCTTGCGATATCTAAAATGCGGTTAAGTGATTTGATACAATAGGATGAACTTAACTTACAATGCCGATACTACAGTACCTTTGGATATTTTAGGGATAATATACCTCATAATTGAACATTGTTTCTTGATGAATCAATAATTTACTGATTAAGAGTAAAGATTTCAAAGTCACGCTATATTCACTGGTTAGGGTTAATATTTCATAACAACGTTTACAAGGCCAATAGATAATACATCATAAAGAAACGAGTTTTCTTAGTGAAATAAGAAGTTTTCCTAACAAAACCATACAAACTAGAAGTAACTTTTGAAATATCAGTGCTTAGTTTGTAATTGAGTACTGTGTGCAAATAAAAAAGATTATTACTAAATGAAACCGGAAAGATTAACCCGATATCTCAGCGAAACTTCCGTTCTTCGTTCTGATAAATAAACGATACGAAATCCATTCTAAAAAAGACGTGCATATTCTACGATATAAATTTTTTAGCAAACACATGGTCAAATTTAGCAAATAAATGAGGTTTATCTATACCTTTATTCAACAAAAACTGTTCGCGTGATTCTGAGAACTGATCTTACATTTTATTGAGTTTTGATCTGAACTACCAGAAATTCAAGTTCTTGAGACTGATATCGCCCCTTAATCAGACTGTTGCAAGTTTGAATCTATTTGTTGACTTTGTATTAGATACGTGGCAAAAATTCACGTTTAGATAATTAGAAAAAGACCAACACAGTGAAGAAATATTCATTTTTAATTAAAGTACTGAGAATTTCACATTGTACTGAAAGTATAGTGGTGAACAGAGCCGTAAACAATAATACAGACATTTTCATCACAGTTTGTATTTGTTTATGCAGCATATGGTAGTGTAATCAGATCAGCCAGTCTAGATATTATGACTTTGTACAAGAAAACCATCGCCTTTTCATACAAAACATTTGATAGGATAGGCACAATGTTGTTGAATAAAACCAGGGTTAGCGGTAAAGTATTAGGCTTAATTACAATAAATTATTCTTCTGTATTTAAATGACATAAGTAATTAACGGTGGGATTCCGAAACAGTGAAATTTCCCACCTTTATTTAGGTTAATCATTAGCCGCAGTAATTTAAGTTTGAATAATCGACCAAACAGAATTAGGCGGATCTTGAGCAACAAATAACAAATGCATTTAGATTTTCATACTTTGATGTTGGCAATGATGTAAGATGAAACCAGACTTCTGGAAGAAAATTAAGGGGACTATAATAATTAGACTTTGAGTATAATATTAAGCGAAATGGAGTTTATATTTGAACTCTACACATTCTAGCTGATATATTCAAAACCTGGGAATGCAGATGCAAAAGTTAATAAGCATAAGAGTGAATTCGTACCTTTTTACTTGAATGAAAATAAGCCAAACCTAAAGTGGTCAATTTTGCAGGCTAATATATTGCTGCAATTTAATAGCAGAATATGCTTAGATTTTGTTTCTAAGTAATTACACTGAAACGAACACGCAAGCCATCTTCTTTTCGAGATGTAATTTGTGAAAAAGACAATAAAGCTGTATATTTATCATGCGAATATGATTAGTACAAGTTAATGAACAGATGCTTGTAAGTATCAATTTATTGTTCAAGAAAAGAACCTGTTTTCGAAGTGCCGAATATTTAATTTCCTACCTACCATTTTCTTAAATAATTCAACTATTTCTAACGAAGAAAATATGAAAAAGGAACAAAATAGAATCCGAGTAAGTTGAATCTATTCACTAACTTATTCGAGTAGATCATTTTAACCGAAATTTGTTTTAAAGTTACGATGTTCTCGTTATTTGAATAAAATACGGATAGAAACGTATGATATTAAAGATCATGTACTCTGCAAAGCGAATAAAATTACAGAGACCTTAGGATTCGCTAAGTAATAAGTTTTTAACAGCAGCCTGCACGTGTAGGATTCCATACTTACCAAAATGATGAAATGGAAACTCTGATATACGTAACCACATAAACTAAAAAAACTGAATACTAAGCTATCCCCGTTGCGGTAATGTGCTGATTTTATTACATCATACCACATGTTTAATACACCTTTCATTGGAGCACTTCTCTATTAATGGTACTAGTAAATTTATTTTCACAACTAATTATATAGAAAAGATTGTTTTGTTTGAACGAAATTCGAGAATTTATGGGACGTTAAGAAATTTTCAGCAGTCATTTTGCAATGCACTGCATTTAGACGAGTCGTTTGTGATTCAGCGCATATGAATATAAGACAACGTGGTTAACTTGTTACCAACAACTCTGCGTTTAGTAAACAATGAGTGAAATATGTTTATATTAAGTTACTTGAAATTTATCTGCAATTTCAGCTGAATGGAAACAATGCCATAAAATATTCCCATCTTGTTGTGCTAATATATTAGATCTCGCTCTATTGAAATAACGATAAGAGATAATATTATAATCGGCTACAAACAATAATGAAGTTGATCCGCTTTTCGATTTCTTTTCAAAAAGGGCGTTTTGTCTGACTGCAGTGGAGCACATATTTAAAACCGTAACAGTAATCCAATATGTCAATGACGATGAAGCGAAGCAGAAAATCTCGTTTTGTCATAACGTGATTCATCTAGTTTGAAAACTTGGAGCCTGATTTTCTAGTCCCCACAAGTCTATTCTTTAATCCCGAACGAAAAACAAAAGAGGCGAAGTATGAAAGAAGCTTTACTTTCGAGGTTAGTTTACGTATATGACGTAAGGATGTTTATAGCATATTATTTGATATTCCAAAGTCCTTTGAAAAACAAGACAAAATTGTTAGTCATCTAATCGGAGGATGATAACAGAAATTAGGGCCTTTCAGAAATGTAATAGAAAGTTCTAGGGAAAGTTGATAAGCTGAAAGATTTTCAGCGACTTCCCAGGTTCTAAAGACACTTTCGAGAGCTCTAAACATGAAAGGAGCGCCCGGATAAATCCAAAATTCCGGATACATATTTCTACAATTCGGATTTCTTAATCAACAATCATGTAGTGAACCAGAGAGTGGGTATTTATTTCACAATTAGGTCACTAACTGTTTCAGCAGTATTTGTTGGATGATATTTAGTTGAGCTATAAATAACTTCCCAATCTTACTAGATTTACACTTAGATTTTCAACGAGTAATATCACAATCTACATTTTCAACGTTGCAGTAATGGTGAGATACAGACAAGTGTATATAGTCTTACTAACATGGTTACAAGTAGAGAAAATTCCCCTCGACAATCAATTATGCAAAGCTATATGGATTTTGACTGATCACATTACAAAAACCAGGTCGATCACATCTACATCAATCAAAGTACAAAGGCACATGAAAGACGTAAGAGCAAAGAGAGAAGCTGCTACCTCTGTAGATCACCACCCAATGGTGACCAAGATGAAACGGAGGCTATAAAAGCACTAGGCAGCTTGATAAAGAGCATTAAAAAAGTTGAGAGCAGCCTTTCTTCGAGATACCCATAAAACTGAGCAGACTCAAGATTACTCTCAGCAACGAATTACAACTCTCACAAAATCTACTCAAGGCAGACGAAAATACTAAGAAAAACAACTGGATTGAGATTAAAGAAGCAATAACTTCAACATGCAAAGAAGTCCTGAGCTCCAAACAACAGCAGCTGAGCACAAACACTGGAAGATAAGAAAATCTGAAAATACTACATGATACAACCAAGAAGCCAGAAGGAAAATATAGAAAACAGGAGCAACCAGTAAGAAACAAAAAAAGCAAACCAATAACTGAAATCCAAGAACAGAGGGAAGAACAATCTGAAAAGCTCTTTAAAGACTAGCTTCGCTGAACGGACATTGTAGCAACACCTACAGACCGCACCAACAATCAAGGAAATAAGCACGACCTGATACTATTCTAGATAAAACGCTGAAGTCACGCTTAGAAGCAACTAAAAAAGATGCTTCAAATTATTTTAGGGAAGATTCAGTAAGTCAGTCAGTTACAACGTATAACTTCGAAAGCACGTACATCAGTTCAAGTTGCTATACAACATTGGCACAGAGACGCAATTGTCAATTCAAATCCCATAGTGGTAGAGGTAGTAGAAGTATAAGCAGTAATCAAATACGTCAATGATCGAATTTGCAGGAAGATTAGGAAAGAAGAACAAGCAAGGATACCTTACTAAGATATCAAAAAAAATAAGATCTTTGTGAATTTGAGAACAAGAGGTATTACACAGTATCAAAAAGAGTCTTCTACAATGAGTTATTGAACAGGATGAACGATTCAGTAAATACCCAAATTTGAGGTAAGCAGTCTAAGCTTCGTAATGATCGACTGTGAACAAACCAAATCACGAAACTAAAAGTAGTTAATAAAAAATCAACTGAGTGTAAATTATCACTGTGCATCAACTTCCTTGACTATGACAACGTGGATACGAGTATTTAATAGAAACTTCCTCAACACTATGGTTTGCAGATGACCTAGCTCTTCTACCTCATACACAACAAGCGGAAATGAAGAAAGACAGTGTAGCGACAGTCTTTGCAGTAGTAGTTCTCAACGTACACAATCGAACAAGAAAGATCCTCCAAAACAGCACAGTGACCATCTAACGAACCATACTTGATAGTGAATCTCTGGAAGAAATGAAATCTTCTACGTGTTTGGGCAGTATCCTTGATAAGCAAGGGAATTCCTAAGGTAAGAGGAAAAGAGACCAATGGAAACGCACATTGCTCCGAGAATCGGAGGTATAAATTAAAAGAATGAATGGTACTTGGGAACAACTGGGAAAGAGGGTCCAGAAAACGTTTTGAGGATCTTGGTCGGCGGCCTATACTCCACGACAAGTAACAGGAGTAAGTAAATATATTAAGTGCAGTGTGGAATTCTGCACATAGAATGTTTCAACTAATTCCTTTTATGAATCCAACTGATGATGCCACCAGTATAACAGCTTACATACAAATTCAATGATTTATGTGGCGTATATATATTTTGGCGACCCTTTGAATGTGTTTATATAATCAATAAATAATCAACTGGATCGATAATTTATTTAGTGTTCCGAAAGCGTTCTTCATAATGAACAATTTAGTTGAAGAAAGGCAGAGTATTTCTGTGTCCGTAAAAATTATATTATGGCATAATGAAGTGAACGAAACATATCTATTAATTCACATATTCAATATAATGCACACATTATTAAGTCAATCAAGATGCAGCATGGTTAGAAAAATGGAACAAAAGAAAAGAGAAGAAAGATACAATAACACAGGGATCATCGAATAAAGAGTAGGAGGATGTCTGCTTTATTTTACATGAAATCTTAGTTCAAACTAAGTGGAAGGAAACAGATCACTGAAGTGTTCGGTATATTTCCGGCATTCATCTGAAAAAAAAACCGATAAAAAAATATGCAACTCATGGATAATCATGCCAATTTGTAATCGAAAGGAATTTCGTGTGTTCAAGTTTGTTTTATAACAGTTGTGTAAAGACTAGAAATATTATTCGGTAGCCCAGACCAATTATTATTAGTCCTGCTGAAGATATACATCGACATGAATGAAATTAAGTCCTCTTAGCTAAAGATTCTATTTGTGACATCCTTTCTGTTATTAGTGAATCGAAAAATAAGTATAACTAACACTTTACTTTACGTAAAGATATATAATGTTATTTGCATATCATAACCATTCTTTAACTATAAGTTGACAAGTAATTTTAATGTACGTACAGTATTACTAAATACGATAAAAGGATTCTCGTAATGACGATAAAAAAGCTTCATAATTTTTCGTCCATGATATCTTGCCACAATTAAATGAATGCATTTTAAATTTATTTTTATGATTCAGGTATATATGATATCACCAAAAAACAGAAAGTTCGATCCAGTTCAGAAGGAATCCTTATTTAATTATTTAAAACTTAATGTAAAATACAGTAACAATTTGTAAGCAAACTTCTTCATCTAAAAATTAAACCAAGAATTTATAAACATCACGGTGATAAGTGTTAGAATTCATACAGTGCATATATCTCATGCTTTCCGAATGAGAAATCGCAGGAATCAATTAATAAAACGTGATCTAATAATTCAAAAAGCTAAACTTCCGAATAATTAGCTATTAAAGAATTTATTAGACGAATAAAAAACTACATAAGTCAATTTATATACAGCATAGTTTTCAAAATTCCGCCTGCAGCCCCTTTGATGTTAATACCGGTCCCAATCCTGAATAAAGAGGGAGGGTCGAGCATGGGGTTAACGACCTCATTCCCGTACGAAACTAACTCGCTAAAAAAACGCTCATCTGAAAAAACAAATCAAAACATCGAAACTCTGCCCTGACACGTGGAAGGTCTTCGTTTAGAAAAATTATAACGTTTAATGACGAAAGCCAAGATCCTTAAGAAGTAACGAGGCTGAATGCCCATTGTAGCAACCAGAGCAACTATTAATTTAGATACACGGAATGTTCGTACATTGTAGGAGACCGAGAGTCATTCAAGTGGATGCATAAATTAAAAGATACAACCTAGCGATGCTTGGAATCAGTGAAACACATGGGACTCAGGTTGGAAAAAAAGACTAGCTTCAGGAGAGATGCTGTTATACTCCAGCCATGAATAAGAAAATGCCCCACACACAAGGAGTTGTACTGATGCTGTCTAAAGAAGCCAAAAGCACCTATGAGATACGAACCTCATGGACCCTGTATCACCGAAGCATCCTTGAAAACAAGGAAAGAAGGCATTACAATGAGTTTCATCCAGTATTTGCGCCAATGAGGATGTTAAAAATTAATTGTATGAGAGACTAAAGTCAGTGCTTGAGAAATGCTCAACAAAGGATTCGAGAATTCTGGTGGGAGACCTAAACGCTAAGGTTGGCATGGACAACACTGGATATGAAGACATCATGGGACGACATGGAATGGGAGAAAAGAACGAAAATGGTGGGAGATTCGAAAACCTATGTGCCTTTAACAAACTGGTCATCGGAGGCACAATATTCTCACACAAACATATATACAAAGCTACATGGATTTCACTGGGTCACACTACTCAGAACCGAATCAAACATATCTGTACCAATTAAGAGTTCAGAAGGACAATGCAGGACATGTGAACAAAGAGAGGAGCTGATATAGCCCCAGATCATCATTTGCTGGTCGCCAAGATGAAACAGCAACTCAAGAAGCACTGGACAATGGGCAGGACAATGTCGAGAAAGTTCAATAGGGATTTTCTTCGGGATACTGACAATTTCAATGTATTCTAGGTAGGCCTTAGTAACACGTTCTAAGTCTTTCACGATCTTCCCAATGGAGAGGAAACTATGATGGTGAATAACTCGGAAGGGATCAAGAAAGCAATGACTTCAGCATGTCATGATGTCCTGATACTCTGGATAACATTCACGCAAGGAAGAACAAGAAAGAAGCAATGAATATCAATCGAACAAATGAAGAGGAGCATTCAAAACGATCAACGTGGAAGATCTAAAATTGATAGCGGAAAAAGCGGTATAATACAACGAAGAGGCTTGATAGAAAATACAATAAACCAGGACGAACAGTGAAAGCAAGGAAGGCAAAGTAATCACCAACACTGAAGAACCAAATCACACTTAATGGAGCTTTGGAGGGTGTAGAAATCTTCACATGTATGGGAAGCATCAGTGATGAGCAAGATGGACTTGATGAGATGTAAAGCCATGAATCGGCAAAGCAAAGGCAGTATTTCTACAGTTGAAGAACATCTAGAACTCAAAACAACTATCACGCAACACCAAAGCCACAACTATCAATAAAAATGTCACGACAGTTATACTATATGGGGCGGAAACTTGGAGATCCACGAAGTGTGGTGCTGTGTTGCGAACTACTTATAAGTAGTATATAGCGTGAGTGTCAACGTAAAGTCTGGTAGCATAATATGGGGGGAAGATCAAGAAAGGAAGAGTCAGAAAACAATGGAATTTGTTTGAAACGCATGAAGAGTGACAATGGATTGATGTTTGGCAACAGGAACAGTCCAGTTCCATAGGATGAACTGATCCTTTGCAAATGAACGATTTACAATATGGTTTTCCGATTTTACTGAGTAACTCTGTAATTTTCGTTAAATACAATTCGGTTGCCCCCACCTGTGTTCTCATTCACTACAGAAGGACATCATCCGGAAGATTCGAGTACTTATTGTCTGTGAGAAATACTGAGAATCCGCTGGCCGGACACCATCAGCAACAACCTATTGGAGGATAGAACAAATCAGATTCCAGCGGAGGAAGAAATCAGGAAAAAGCTCTAGAAGCGAATGGAACGCATACTGGGGAAAACACCCATACTTGGAATCCTCAAGGTCAAAGAAAAAAAAACCCAAGAACATATTACACTGGGTATTGGAAAGAGACATGAGAAAAATGAAGACCGATTGGATAGAATTGGAAAAGGCGGCCCACATCAGAGTCGGTTGGAGAATGCTGGTCGGCGGCCTATGCTCCACTGGGGGTAACAGGCGTAAGTTAATATACTTTTCAAGTTTAAACAATCTGGGAGTAATAAAGTTATTCGGATAACAGTTTTCAAAAAGTACCTGAGTTCCAATAAGACTCAGACGAACTTTCTTTTAGAAAGTGGTGAGTGCAATATAATTCCATATAGTCATCGATTTGTTGAGTAACGTCCAGGTAATTACGAACATTCTCCATGTCAATGAAATTTTCGGAGTGATGCAGCTTAGCAAATCTGCAAACGATATTGAGAATGAGAAAATACAACTAACTTTCAGAATGCTAAAAAGAGCATTAAACATGTTTAATATTTACGAAACCCTATTAATGGTGATACTTAGCGAAACAAATAATCATAACACTTGCAATTTGTTACATAAAAGAAATAAAATGGTGCCAAGTTAATTCGATGTACAAAAGTCCTATACTAATATTTCACTTTGGAGGCTTAGTACACTTAGATTATGAAAAATTTCACTCTTTCAGATAAGCACACAAAAAATAAAACGACAAACAAGGTAATGAACTTATGGCCAGTGAACCATACACAACTACTAACGGGCATATATGTGCATCAGTTCAAAAAGTCACGCTAAATCAGTACAATAAGATGATAATTGTTTAAAAATACCCATTATTTTAAAACACATACGAATGACAAATATTTTTTCCAATAAATTCTCTTCAGTCTCTACAATTATGTGTTCGAATTAGTAATCCAGAAAATGGCCAAGTTTAAGGCAAACTACATTGTTTCCAATTATGGCATATGAGAAGAGTTAGGATTGTTTGTGAAATAAAATAGCATTGTCATTGTTGAGATGATGAATATGAGCTGTTTACTTGACTAAGTTAATGCTTTAAAATATAGTTGTGACATTAATGATTAGAATAGATGTGTCAGATAGGGTGATAGAAATAATAATACAGCTATCAAATTCGATCGAATATTTAGTGCATGATGTTACATAAATTCAATTAGAGTTATCAAAGAGGGATGAGTGCTGTGTATATTGATCATGTTTTCGGAAGATGAACAGGAATGTTAAACCAATAACAATAATAATATAAATAGTAAGTAGTATGAAGATATGTGAATAAACACAGCAAAGAAAATTAACTTTTAACTAAGAAAAGTTATGTGCACATTAGCTGAAATGGGTCACTCTATATTATAAGATAACCGTCAGTAATTTGGACTTGAGGTTGACCGTTGTAGGGAATGCGTTGAACGTGTTGCTTTTGACAGTTGAAGAACTTTGAGTTGGGCCGATTTTAGCTAAAAATTACTAACCCGATAAATTAGTGAAAAGGACTTACTTATAATAGCGCTAAGACCCATATGTACTAAATGGCTTAACATGGAATTATTTAGAGCCTTTACTACTCGTTGGCTTAGCCACTCTCGTGAACATCTCATAGCGTGCCTAGTACAAGTAGTGACAGTATTAGTAATAGTAGACGACATTCAAGAAAAAGTAAATTCGTGAAGTAAGGAAGTATAGTCAATCAATAGCAACGTAGAACTTCGTACGTACGAACATCAGCTCATGTTGCCATACCACGTTAGCACAGAGATATAATTGTCAATTCAAATCCCATAGTAGTAGAGGTAGTAAAATTATTAAAAAAAAATCGAAGAGATTAGGGTTGGAAGATGTTATCCAAGAAGTATAATTCAGTGAGGTAACTTTAAAAAAAGATAGAGGTGAGGATTGTGGTGATGAGGAATTCAGAAGCTTAGAATTTCATAGAACACAAAGATTAAATGCACCTGCGCCATTGCAAACGGTTTTGAGCCATGTCATTCAGGCTATCTAACCATCGATTATCATCTGGCGCACCCCAACCAAGTAGTCGACACCTACCAACATGACTCAATCCAGTTGTCAGTGACTTCATGGATTTGTGTCATGTTTTGGTCTGGCCGCCCCTAGCTTTCTTCAAACCTACTCCTACACCACACTACATAGCTCGACGAGGCAGTCGGTGGTTGAGCATTCGTAACACATGTCCTAACCACGTCAACTGATGAAGTCTCACTACTTCATCTATTCATTTGCCATACCTACCTACAAGTCGTTTCCTAACAGCCCCATTGCTCACTCGGGTGTCCCACGATACTCGAGTAATGCTTCGGAGGCACCTATGATCAAAAACAAGTAACCAACGAATATCTTCTACTCTGACTGGCCATGTTTCACAGCCATATAGTAGGACGGAGCGAACTACTTCACTGTACACTCGTCCTTTAGTTAGCAAACGGATATCACGCCCACGCCATAAGTGACGCAGGTTGGCAAAAACCAATCGAGACTACTGTATCCGAGCTGAGATTTCGTCAGTCACCAGGCCATCAACACTGATGAGACTACCAAGATATGTGAAGCGGTCCACACGTTCAACTACTTCATCCCAATCACTAGTTCAGGTGTCGATGCAACCCAATCTTGAAGCAACATTTTGCATTTCGAGGGGGGAAACCGCATACCGTACATGCTTTCATTGTTGCTTAGGGTAGTCAGAAGACTCTGCATTTTGTCAGAGTCTTCACCAAGTAGGACTATTTCTTCGGCATATTCTAAGTCAACTAGCGATCCTCCTGGTAGAAAGTCTACTCCTGAAAATTCAGACGAAGATAATGTTATATCTATAACCATGTATATGATAAAATTAAACAATAATGGAGAGAGTGGACATCTCTGACGGACACTACTTGAAGTAGAGAATTCCGGTGACGGTTCGCCATAAGCTCTCACTCGACCAGTAGTGTTCGAGTAGAGAGCCTGTATAAGGTTAATGTACTTCTTTGGTACACCTTTCAATGACAGACTCTGCCATAGAATTTCACGATTGACAGAGTCAAATGCCTCTATGAGGTACAGGAAGACAACTATTGTCGAACGTCTTGGTGTGTCTGTGTTCTAGGACCTGTCGTAGTGTGAAGATTTGGTCTATACATCAGCGTCCAGGTCAACCAGGACTCGCTTGTCGCTCTCGCTTCAGATTTCCTAAAGCTTTCTCAACTTCATAAAGAGTTGGGGTACTTACGTCGATTTGCAATTCAGAATGACTGGAGATCATGAGTAACTGAAGTGTAGCTGAAGGCCAGTTGAACTGATCCCTAAAGTGTTCTGCTCATCGATCCAGTCTCCTGGATTGAGAATGGATAGTAAGACCATCCTTTTCCGAGATATTTTCACTCACATTCGGGTTCCTAATACTAGTCTCCTTGATAAGGCGGAACAACTGTTTACTGTTGCCTATCGCCGCTATCTTTTCTATTTCTCTCGCTTTTGCCACCCACCACTGTTCGCGGTCGTTGCGTAGGCTTTTTATCAGCCTGAGCTTATGCTGACTCCGCTCTTCATCATGTATAGTATTTCAGAAAACATGAGTGAATAAACCTGAACCATTATTATCGGTTCTTATTCATGTCATACAGCGTTCCAACAATTGATAATCATAAACGAATGAATGCAAACCAGGTAGTATGTACAAAGAATCTAGCTTAACTGAAGTCAATGACATTATCGGCTGATACCACATCTTGGGTTTGGCCACATCTATGATTCTTCCAATCTATCCCTAAATCAACAAACAATGGGCCTTGAGGTATATGGCAGCTGAACACACGTGATACAGGCGTCAACCATCTCAGTCAATGAAGACTTACTGCATTACAAACCAATATACTATCACATAGTCCAACGCATTAAGCATTATTAGCACTACTCAGTCGGCTATCTGAACAAATGCGAAGGCTATGTTTCAAATTCGTAAAGTAAAGCAGACTGAAATGTTGAGCGATATACTCCTTCATTAGTAGACACACGGGCACCTAGCCTAAGACGAAAGCAATACATGTTAATAAAAGTTGACTGACTTCTGAACTTGTGATGAGATATAGTTACATAAGAATTCACTAGTGTTAATAAAACTTACAACAAATGAAGTGGCTAACACGTTAGCATACGTCAATCCTAAAACAACATTTTGCATTTAGAGAGAGAAGTATCTCAAATGTGGTTGTATGAGTGCGGTCGAAGCAAACATTTACCTTTATTTGTTAGCTGAGCTGGGACACCGAAAAGGCTTACCTACATGACTTATAGCTTAGTCTAGCCCAGTTACTTAGACAATAAAATCACCTGAAAGGTAATATCGTTTAACTGGACAGTGCACAAGGGTGTGTCTACTGGAATGCAACTTAAGAAAGCCTGTTTTACTTTCAAACTTAGTGATATGCCTAATTCAATGAAGTCACAAGAAATAAAAAATATATTTAACTTAAGTAATAAAGCTGAGATATAGACTTTTAGAGAGGAAAACTGATTACCTCAGTGCTTCCAGCGGTCGTCCTTTTATTAATAATGCATCGAACAATTCACTGTTGCAAGTATTCAACCTCTGATCAGATTAGTGAAAATAAACACAAAAATTTCAACAGAAAAAACAAAAAATTTTAATGCTTGAAATAATTTAATTGTTCGAAATCACAAAGTATGCTTGGAAATCGAAAAGCGATATGAATTCAGTACTGGCGAAGAAATTCGATTTTATCACCTCAACTCAGAATTCCAGTAGAGATCATAACATGTATTAGCAATCGTAAACTCAGCAACCAAAAACGTATCGACAATGGTATGACCAATGTTTATAATAACCAAACAAATTCGATGTCGACGGAACAAGTTGTTAATCAGTTCAATTTCTTCTGAAATTCGTCCAGATAAACAATGTATTTATTACCTACGTGCATTGTAATCATAGTACTAATGACCAACAGATTAATTGTTGCACAGTTTCTTTCTACTATTTCATTAGTTGATTGTAAATTAATTAATTTACTATTGATTGGTGAACTTCGTATCCGTCCAGTTACATTGAATTCGTTACACTTTTTCCTGGCCTCTACTGAGTACCAACTGCTTTGCTGGTTTTGCCACCTTGAGTGTACTAATTATTGTTTACAGCAACACTATATATATATATATATATATATATATATATATATATATATATTTGAGGCTAAGACATTTCCAAACTTCCATTGAGTGGATCGAGTGAATCTCATACAAAGTAAACCTTACGACTGAACTATCCTTCTCCGATGTTCATCCGCTAGAAATCAATTATTTTATTTTACCAATAGATAAATATTTCTTTAAATAATTTTTAGAGATTACGGTGATCAGTTGTTCGTTTTAGATAAAGTGATTGACATTCAGCAAGAAATGGGTAGGCTGTTATCATTAAATTGAAATGAATTCGAAGACGCAAGTGACTATTGTCGATAGATTAGCATTGAACCAGTATTGAATTATTCTGAGATAAAAAATATTGAGGATTTTAAGTCGTAGCGAGTCGAGGATTTCTGTTATAACCATTTAAAATCTCATTTCATGTAATCATAAAGTGAATTAGCGACCCACCTTTAGCATATCAACAGCAAGTTGTCCTGCCGGGGGATACTCACTCTCCAGAGAAAGTAGTTGAAGTGCCTATAAAAAAATTGTGAACCAGATGATAATATATTGTCAATTTTTGTGAAGTAGAAAGGATGAATTTACAAAAATTAGCAAAAGCTTAGTCTCACAAGTGCGAACTGTGACCCGACTTCTAAGCCGTTCATTAGGAAAATGATTCGTAACCTCGTGTAGATGTTTTCACAAGAATTAAGACTTTCAGTTTTGAAATGTGATGTACTGAGGCTACATAGGAGACTTGAAAAATAGCTAAACGTTGCATCGAGCTACAGAATCACCAAACGCTATGTTTACAAAATAAAAATCATCAAAATGCTAGAGAACTTCATTACTTTTTTTAAAACTTTTTATTCAGTGATGAAGTTATCACAATTCTCAGGATGATCAATATGCTACAAAACAACACACAGTTCATATTTGACGATTACGATAACTACTGTTAACAAAACATCGGAGGACGGAATTTAACTATTACGAATTTACTCTCATCAATAAGTTATACGAGAAGCGAATATTAATAATTGTTCAGCGTGAAATACCATTGGTACAGATTAATACTAATAAACGATTACTTGGGATTAAAATTACAAGAAATGACTACCACGAAAATAAATGCCTAGAATCTTAAATGGACCGCCCCAATACGTGGTGAATTACTCGAATCACATAACTGTTAACTGAAAAATTACCACAAACCAAAATAATCAATAACTCATTTTTAAAAGAAAAAAAGCAATTTTACGGTAGGTTTTGAATCAGCAAGTAGACGACTTTGAATATAAAAACTGAGCTGTGTATAATTCCCCATTCTGGCAACGAGATTTACGAGCAATTCGTAGAAACAATGCTGAAACGAAATTAATCCAACAACCGTTAAAAAAGGCTAAGTTTGAAAAAAATAGTGTAGAATCATCTCACTGTAACGAAAATTTGGAAGTAAGAAGATCACTTCACACATAAAATATCTGAAACAAAATTTAAGATGGGGAAATCATTTAACTAATGTGAAATGAGAAGTATAATTAGCAACTGTTCACGTTGACATTATGATAAGTTATAAATGAAGAAATATGTGACGAAACTTCATTTGCTTTTTTGTTAGTTATTCCAATCCTGAAAACTTATCAGACATATCTGTCTTAGCAAATGTGTACCCCACGCAGATGTCTGATTATTGCACAAATAAGTTTTTGGGACTGCCATTGGAAACCATAAGCTAGATGAACCAACATTTTAGTGTCGATGATCACATTGAGAAGCCTTGGTATTTGAAGTGATAGACACCGGGTTCGAATCTCAATGTGAACATCATAACTAGGATGTAATTTTATACGTCTAACAAGTTAAAGAAATAGATGAGATGAACACGCTGGATTCCACTGCTAGTCCCAACCCAAAAATACACCAAAAGAATGTGAAGAAAAGTGTTGAAATGATAAAATTAGATTACTGGATTCAGACCTAATGAGTAGACTGTAACAGTCCTAACACAGAGTCTGTAAACCGAGCTATATTGGCTGAAACATATGTTCCTGTTGGATCTACCATATCAGGCACGTCGATTTGAAAACGGTGAAACTGAGATCTGCAACTCAGGCTCTGAAGGCGAAGTCGTACTGCTGACTATGCAGAGGTGTCACAGCAGTAAGGCGTTTCCCTCAGGCAACCAACACCTGCAGCGATGTTGCCTTCTCACAAGCAAAGAAGGGGTTAGAAATAGTCAACAATAAAAATGTTACACCTCACCTTACCTCTCGGATTCCCGTCTGCGGCGGTAAGGCCTTCAGAAGAACAGAGCTAACACTTCTAAAATTTCTCATAAAAAAGCCACGCGTGAATAGCCTCAAGCAGTTGTCCCTTGAGACCTGCGCCAACGCTAACAGGTCTCTAAGACAGACGCTAACCTACTTTCCTTATAAGGTTCTTCAAGAAACACCCTACCACAGTGTGGACAGTCGGGAAGTGATATACGCACTCATACGCGTGACAGCACACGAGACCAAATTGGTCACAACCACATCATTCCTACACCGTCAGCGAACCTCTTAGGGTTCTACATAATGATAGAATAGATATGAGGAGCAACTAGAAAAACAGTTAGCCGGTCATGTGAGTGATTTCCAACCCGAGGCAGCTAGGTGAACCATAAGGTTAGGGAGAAGCGGTGGATCTCATTAGCATATGCGAAACTGATGTCTGCTCGTAAACTCAACCAGACTAGCTCTGAACATGCCGAAGGGCGAAATTAGCTTAATCGTAGGCAGATAAGAAGTCTATGAAATGATCGCGAACAGTGGTGAATACCGAAAGCCAAGACACGTAAAAGTATACAACTGCTCCACCTTATCAAGAAGATCGATATAAGGAATGCGAATGTTGGTCCAAAAGTCTACGAAAAGGATTACTGTATAATTAATTTTCAACCCAGGAGATTGAATCGTGGCACGTAATATTGTAGAGGTCAAATCAACCGGACTTCAGCAGCACTTCAGTTGCCAAAGATCTCCAGTCAACCTAAATAGCAATTCAGTATCCGCCCTTCGACTCTCTTTAAAGATAGAGGGCCAGTTTGAGCAGTGAGATGGACTGAGATCATGGGTTGAATCTGCGAACTGGGCGTAATCCTATCTTACAGGTCTCAATCCCCGATTGTCCCTGTCTATAAGAAAGGACATAAATCCTCTAGTGACAAGCACAGAGGAATAAGTTTAACTAATCAAAAGTCTAAATTGTTAGCCTCGATATTATTTTGACGCCTAACTAGAGCACGTGTGGCAACGATTTGAAAAACCAGGCCGCTTTTCGAACTGAACATGCATATATAAACCACGTACCGGAACAAAAACACACATTCAGACGACCCACAATAGTAGTATTTCTCGACCTTAAAGCGGAATTCGACTCTGTTGATCGTATGGTACTATGGCAGTGACTGTTATTAAAAGGTGCACCAGAAAAGTACATTAACCTTATACAAGCTCTCTACTCGAACACCTTTGGACAAGTTCAAGCTAATGGAAAACTGCTATTAGAATCAATTACATCAAGTGATATCCGCCGTCAGGCATATCCACTTTCCTCATTCTGGTTTAGTTTTGTCATAGACCTGCTTCTAGATATAACATTATCTTCGTCGAACTTCACAGGAGTAGACCTTAAATGAGGAGACTCAATAATTGTTTTAGAATATGCAGATGATATAATTCTACTTGTTGAAGACGCTGATAAATTGCAGACTTCTGACCACCCTAAGCGACAATGCAAACATGTACAGGATGCGGTTTCCCACGTCGAATAGCAAATGTTGCTTCAAGATTGACTTGCATCGGTATATGAACCAGTTGAGCATATTGACCGCTTCACTTATCTCGGGAGTCTCAGCAGTACTGATAGCCTGGTGATCGATGAAATCTCAACACAGATACAAAAGACTCGATTGGCTTTCGCCAACTTGCGTCATTTATACCCTAGGTGAAATATCCGTCTGCTAACCAAAGAACGAGTCTACTGCTCAGCTGTTCGCTCCGTCCTACTGTATAGCTGTGAAACATGGCAAGTCGGAGTAGATATTCATAGGTTACTACTGGTTTTCGATCATTGGTGTCTCGAAGCATCGCTCGTCTATCCTGGAACAACAGAGTAAGCAATGCTGTTGTTAGGAAACGAACACTAGGTCAGAATGGCAGATCAACTAATGAAATAGTGAAACATCAGTTGACGTGGTTGGAACATGTGTTACGAATGCTCAACCACCGACTGCCTCGTCGAGCTATGTAGTGTGGTGTAGGAGTAGGTTTGAAGAAAGCTAGGGGCGGCCAGACCAAAACATGACACAAATCCATGAAGTCACTGACAACTGGATTGCGTCATGTTGGTAGGTGTCGACTACTTGGTTAAGGCCCGCGAGATGATAGTAATCAATGGTTATAGACCCTGAATGACATGGCTTAAAACCGTTTGCAATGGCGCAGGTGCATTTAATCTTTGTGTTCTATGAAATTCTAATCCTTTGAATTCTTGAATATCTTCGAACCCTAATCTTATCAATTGCCACTAATACTTTTAAAATCTGTACTACTATGGGATTTGAAACGACGATTGTATCTCTGTGCTAATGTGGTATGGCAACCGGCACTGATGTATGTACCTACGAAGTTCTACGTTGTAAATGACTAACTGACTGACTTATAAACAGTAATTATGGGTTAATTCGAAATGTAAAGTATATACTAAACGAACAATACAAATATTGAATGTAAAGCTATGTTAATTCTCTCTTTTTGCCTATCTCTTCAGCATAATTCTACATCGTCGAACTAACAAGTTAATTGAAATTAAGTAAACCATATTGGATATAGCAATAAAATTAATGATGCTCACATCTACACAAATGTCATGCTCCAAAAATACACGAATATATTCAATCAGTATAGAGTGAAACAATTTACGGATTCCTAGTTTCTGTAAATTGAAAAGATCAAAAAAGCATTCATTAATTCGCAGATAAAATAAGTATACAACATGGTAGTAAATTATGGTCTGAATATAATAATTATCTAAAAACCAGATTAATTTATTTTGAAAATCCGAGAAAAAAATTTTCACAGCTTAAAAGTTTTTGTCCTTTCTGATGACGATCCACAAAAGATTTCAAAACAGCAGCGAAATGCAAAACTAAGATATTTTAATTAAAAGCAACCGCAATTCTCATAATACGAACGGAAGTTGATGTGGACTCAATAACTCGAAAGCTGATACATACAACACTTTAGCGATACTCCCCAAATGACAGAACCGAAGAATAAGGAAGAATGCAAAAAAATTGAGTTTCAAAGGAGACAACAATTAAGAACAACTTTGTATACCTAGTAACAAAACTTGACCTTCGGACAGAAGAAAACTAGTAAACTAAGGTGGTGTTTACATGAATTAGGAAAAGGCGCCGGAGACTATAATTACGGGAAATAACTTTGCATTTATTAACAACAACTAAACAACTTGGGATCTTCCTACCATTTTCTCACTAAACAATGCAATATTCTACATGTAGCAAAAATATAAACCAATTGTCATAAAAACCGGTTATTGGTAATATTTTAGAATTTATCGCACGAAACATTATTATATAAATTTCCTTCTGAACAGTTGAAAGACATTAATGCAGTGAGTTATAATTCTCTCTTATTACAACCCAGATATTCCAAATGCTTAGTATTCTCGGACACCAATTCACTGGAGACGTTCTCCAAATCAGAACACGGTTGAACAGGAAAGGGATTATATTCCAATAATAAGGATAGATGGAAGTTAGAAGCTCAAAATGAAAAGATGTTAGTATATCTATAGTTTTTTAAATGAGAAGACTCCAGAATGTTCCACCAATAACGACTAACGTTGATTGGATAAGAAAGAGCCAGCCAGCGTGCAACAACGTAATCGTGTATGGAACATGCTTTGATCCAATCTATGTCCCGCTAACACTGTAACAAATTCTTATTGGTAAATTATGTACTACTTCAATGTTTGTGCCAAAATTCCTTAATTATATTTGAACATTAAAAAACACTTCCGCTTTGATGCTCCAACGAAAACGTCCAAATGGAACTAGTTTTTACCACAGTGATATATTCATTACTCTGTTTACAGCCCAATAACTAACCACAAAACAGCATATTCTCTCTTTTATAAGTGAATGGTTAGTAGTTATAAAAAGTCTGATAGGTTTGCATGAGATTATTTTTAAGCTATGAAATCGTTAACCAATCAAACTTATTTACCTCTACACTTTGGTTCTTTAAAAATACGTGCGAATATATTTCAGGTTGAGAAATGATGTCGAAGGTTGGTGAACCCATGCGTTGGCCCTTGGATATAGTCTTCTTTTGAAATAATGTGAGCAATCATGTGGAAAAATATAAATACAAACATCTATACAACGAAGCAGTAAAACTTAAAGTCTGCTCTCCAATGAATTTAAAAAAACCCTCTCATATTAAACCAATGAAGTTCGTCTAAAACTAGGGTCATCTGGTGGATGGATAACTGTCCCTGATTTTTATCAAACAATATAGCATCATCTGAGAGAGAACCACTCTATTCAAATACTTACTTTTACATGTATTTACCTGAAAATTCATTTATTCAAAAATCTATAGTAACATCGGTAAGCGGTGACATTCCAACACATAAGGTTTAAAAAGGTATAACTGAATCTAAAGTGAAGAAGCGCATTAACTCCTAAAATTTTATCTCCGAATTTCTTCAGAGAAGGTGCATCGGAAATATTCATTACACTATGATCATAAGTCAGACGTAATTCTAGTCATTAATGTTTTACAGACATATTGTACAAATTAGATGTAGGATGGTGCCATAAGAGCTCAATTTACTAATGTCTAACATCACTAATGAAAGGACGACCACGTGATAGTAATAACCTTAGCTGGCTGACTACTAAAGAAATTAAAGAACCCATACAAAAAACGTGACTGATGTTTCACTGAGCGTTTTCACTTGAAGTACTGGAAAAATGTACAAATGAAGATAAGTACCAAGTCTACTCTTTCTCAGTTATTATTATTTGAAGAATCAAAATTTTAAGTTTGATTATTTCTGTCAGTAAGGCAGTGGCTTATAAGTCATACAACCACATGAACTAAATCCGTACAATAAAGGAAAATATTCAGGAGCTGAATGTGCTTCAATTCAGGTTTCTAAATTGTTGGGAGTAAAATTGAATATATTCACATTAGATTTAAAGCATCACTTACAATTGTAGAACAATGGCATGGCAGTTCCAAAGTACTTGACATTTTATGATCCAAAGAAGTCTGCAATTTACTCGTGACTTTTTTCCTACAATAGCTTACTTCACAAATTCGTTTAAAGACGAATGCAAATTGATCTAGTCGTTGATTCAATCCACATCCATCGAATTTGTAGTTCAAAGGTTTGTCAACATTTGATGTAACCTCTTCGATACTGTCCACGACCAATTTGGAGCAATACTCTAATAATACACTTTTGCCATTGGATCGATGCAGCAGGAAATCCACAATTAGGTTCTATAAAATAATAACACCCATATTGAATTGTCAGTGTTCTCCATTTTACCAAACAAAGGAATCACTGATTATTAAGGAATTTTAAATTATCAATTTGATTGCGCTTGTAGAAATACACAATACACAACATAGATAATCGAAACAAGCGAACTTCACTAACCAGAACATTTTACAGTGGCTTGTTTAAAAAAACTAGTCCGCTCTACTCACACCACCAGCAGAACGAAATTTAGTGAGAACCAGAAAGGATGTAAAGATGACAGGTCGACAAACATTTGTGAAAGATGTTAGGATTGGATAGTTAGACATGTACAAAAAGCAGTTCCATTACCCAGCACAATAAAATATGTTTTTGAGCTGCTTTAGAAAATATCAAATACAGTGTTTATTGTTCTACAAAGAGGTTATTATGCAACTGATTTTCGTAAAACAACGGAGTAGTGTGAATTTAATTCTAATTATTGGTCAAGATCAGACGAGATAATGACAAAATATTTAGATAAGAAAGTGACTTTGTTATAATGGACAAAAGTTAATTATCCCAAAAATACTGAAAAGCTAAAAATGGATCTGAAGGGAAAACATAAAACAGTGAAAAATATCACACAAATGATAGATTCGATAAAAGAAAACAATTTCACAATAATACACCAAAAGCTATACAATTATAGATAAATTCCAAATAATTTACTACACAAGCACTTAGTGGATGAAACCGACAGAAAGTTAACAATTCCACAATAACAATCTCCAAACCAGACAAAGGTTCCGGTGTAGTAGTCATGAATAAAGATGACTACGTAACGAAAATGAAAGTGATCCTCTCAGGCTCTGCTAAATTTAAATCAGATTCACAGATCGATAACGTGAAGTTGGTCGAAAAACAGATATGCCGAGAACTACATCTACTCATGCTTCATGGTTTTATCACCGAGGCCCGTTATAAAATGCTCAAGCCTATTGGTACATGCACACCAGAAATGTATGGCTAACAGAAACTACACAAGCCTAGAACACCTATGAGACTAATTTTGTCTATGATAAATTCACCATACCATAAGCTAGAAAAGTGGCTGAAAGAAATTTTGGATCCTGTTTGTAAACAACTGTCGACGCATACTTTCATCAATTCCTTTGAACTTCTCCCAACCTTGGAACACTTGAATATTTCTAATAGTCGGATGTGTTCTTTCGATGTAAACTCTTTGTTCACAAATGTACCTCTCAAAGAAACTGTGGAATTTATTTGTGACTTCATAACTTCACACAACATAAGAATACCCAATCCGACTACCTATCTTCGAGATCTAATTTTGCTGTCCACAAAGAATATAAAATTCTATTTCCAAGGTAAAGCATATACGCAAATCGGTGGAGCGGCTATGAGAAGCCCCCTCGGACCTGTTTTAGCAAACATATTCATGGGAATGATAGAAAGGCAAGTGAGTCACTTCATCGATGGTATTACACTTTACAAACGATATGTCGACGATATTATTGTCATATTACCACATTCTAAAGATATTAATGAAGTCAATGATTTATTTAATGCGATTCACCCGAATCTGAAAGTCACTTGTGAGGAAGAAAAGAATAATGAACTAGCTTTCCTCGATATCCTGCTCCATCGCCGTCCAGACGGATCAATCAGACGGAAAGTACACCGCAAACCCACCTGGTAGGGACAGTACCTCCACTTCACCAGTTTCTGCCCCATACAATATAAACGTTCTTTTGTAAAAACTTTATTCGCTCGAGCAAGTAGAATCTGCACTGCTGATACATTGAACGACGAATTCAAGCTTATTACTGAGACACTTAAATCAAACGGATATCCCGAAACGTTTATTGGTCATCAGAACACAACTACGACGAAGCTGATAGCAACTGATGTGCCCAAGAAACCAGTGTACCTACAGTTACCTTTCAAGGATGATCATTGCATGAAAATTACAACCAAACAGACTGCAGCTGCAATAAAAAAGACCTTCAATGCAGCTAATCTGAGGCTTATCACAACAACTCAATCGATCTCAGTTACCCCAATCAAGTCTCCAAGACCGATTTAGTCCAAATCCCACTGTATTTACCAATGCACATGTAACTGCGGAGAAAGTTACTTAGGTAGGACAGATCGCCGATTGGAAGACAGGATAGGGGAACATATTCCAAAATGGTTAATCAAATCCATGATTGATCAGCCTAGCCCGTCATCTCAAGATCGATCAAGAAACCCAGCCTCGTCCATTGCAAAACATCTAATGATGAGTGGTCATCAAATTGACCTAAAATCAGTCTTTAGAGTTGTGACATGTCATCAAAACCCACACACACTCAAACTACTCGAAGCTATCTTGATTGGTCGGGAAAGTCCAACTTTATGTGTTCAAAAACAAACTGTGTGTTGACCTTTGTTTACCATGGTTCTAGTGAGTGAATGTCATGCTAAATAAGAAATTTTGACCTTATCTTCAAAACTGCATTTACACAAATAACATGTTGCTTGTATGTGACTGACGAGAAAACACGAAATGGTACTATCTCACAAAATATGTCTTCTCATTTCTCTGTTCAAATTTATCAAAGGGAACCACTGTTTAGAAAGTTAACAAACAGTTAATTGAGACGAACACCTTGATGAAAATCTATAAAGGTCCTTTCAAACAAACATATAAACAAAACTCACGTGATTATCAATTAGTTTTGGGAAAACGCTATTGTTTAAACATAGCAGCCATGAGCAACCTAGAAATTTAAAAAACAACAAATAGACTGAATATTCGATTTTGAAAGCTTGATAAATATATACTTGACCGGATGTATTAAGGAATAACTAATCTGAAAAATAGTTAACTTCGACAAGTCAGAAAACACCCATTAGTTGAAAGCTGTCACTGATGAAATGAAAGATTTACATGACTAAAAGGTGGTCCGAATACTAAATTAAGAGTAACATAAAGTGGGTTACAGATAAAAATCCGAACTACTGAAGCAGTGTTCGATTATTTATGAAATAATTTTTACATAGATCCTAAAATTTTAGAACCAACGAAAAATGTAGATATTAATGTTTGTTACGAGTATGCTGATATAAAGGGCATCAATAATAAAATTTAGAAACGAAAACATTTAGACGGGGTGAGTGATTTACTATCGTTCCTGGTCTCCTTAAACCCCGTTCCAAACTACATGTTGCAGCATTCAATGTACGGACATTGTGTCAAATAGGGCAACAGGCTTCATTAGCTAGGACTTTAGAATCTCGTTCCATCGATGTGTGCTGCGTCTCGGAAACGCGCATACAGGATCCGAGTAGCATCACTCATTTGACCTCACCATGTCAAGATAAAGAAGCAGCTCGATTTACCCTTCGTGTATCTGGTAGCCCTGATGCTGCTTCTAGGGGCCTCGCCGGTGTAGGTATAGCATTGAGTCGTTAGGAAACGAGTACTAGGTAAGGATGGCAGATCAATCGATGAAGTTGTGAAACTTCATCAGTACAGGTGGTTGGGACATGTGTTACGTATGCCTAACCACCAACTGCCTCGACGAGCTATGTTTTGTGGTGTAGGAGTAGGTTGGAAGAAAGTTAGGGGCGGCCAGACCAAAACATGGCAGAAATCCATGAAGTCACTGACAAGTGGACTGAGTCATGTTGGTAGATGTAGACTACCTGGTTGGGGTCCGCGAGACGAAAGTCATCAGTGGTTAGAGACTTTGAACGACATGAATCAAAATCGTTTGCAATGGCGCAGGTGCATCCACTCTTTGAGCTCTCTCAAATCCTAATCTTCTGGATTCGTCAGCACCTCTACCTTTGTCTTTCTAACCTTATCTCACTGAATTATATTTTTGAATAATATCTTAAACCCTAGTCTTCTTTATTATAACATTAATACCTCTACTATCTTTATCACTATGGGATTTGCTTTGACATTTGCATCTCTGTGCTAATAATGTGGTATGGCAACATGAACTTATGTACATACGTACGAAGTTCTACGTTGCAACTGACTGACTATACCATCATTTGTTCACATTGTGAAATAATATACTTTTAGAAAGTGTTTTAACTTTACCACGTTGTAAAAGTACATCCAAGTAACAAGATGCTAACTCGAGTAACCCAAAATAAATATATGACTTCCTACGCTAAATATGTACTGAGAATAAAGTAGTAAATATTAGATGGACATAAAAAAGTGACAGTTAAAATTACTAACTACGTGAGTTATCTACGTTGTAACAATACTCACCGAGACTATTGTCAATGACGACACCACACAAATGAATAATCCAATTCATTGAATCTGTGAGAATATCAAGTTTAAGGAATCAAATGAATGTCCTGATACAAAATAATATAATCAAATAACCTGATTAGCAGCATGATAAAAATTTGTATTTGTATGTGAGTGAGAAAATATCTCCCATATACAGGCTATCTGACACCATTTTGTCTCGTCTTGATTACTAGGTTTTTCTTCTATTTTTGCTGATCATACTTAATCTTTGATACATAATAAAAAGTTTGTGTTGATATTCATTCACAAAAGTGTTCCATGTACAGTATTATTTCTCTCTTAATATCCCCTGGATGATAGTCTGTTTTACTCTATCTCAGACTATAGTGACTGTCATACTGTCTCATCGCTTTTTGATTATGCTTGCTGTAAGCCACTATGATTCTTAACAAGTAGTTAGCAATTATGACTTTTAATGTTTGGTGAATTGCTAATCTTAAAGCCTATCTGTGATTGCATTAAACTTGGCTAGCCGGTGAGGTATATCTCTATTCTTTCCTTGACAGGATCACCGTTATTCTTTGACAAACAATTAGTTTTATAGTACTGAATACCATTTTGTGGTCGGTTTTTTTTTACCTTAGTTGTATCTGACTTTCCGAACGTAAATTTACTGAACAGCCCACTTCCTAAAGCTGTTTAGGTGTACTGTGTAACATATACCTCCACACTTCTTTTATATACAATTAGAACTATACTTAATTACCAAGTGACTGTGATCAGGCTATATCAAACGGTGATTATCACTAACTAAAAACTAGGTTGGGTAGCTTACAGTTCCGGAACTCGAGTATTTCTGGTCGTTACAAACTTTGTGGATGCTAGAAGATCAAATCAAACCTAATGACACTACTAGGTTAGCGAGAACGTTGAAGTACTTACAGAAACAGAACAAAGAATTTACCCCTAGAAATTAAATATGATAACTGACTTTAGTTAACTAATCCATTATTCTGAAGGTGACAAATTATGAAAACGAAAAGAGAGAATAAAATTTACATTTCTGTCAAGGATACATAAATCGATAGGAATTTGCGCATCCAAGCTTGCTGATAATGAGGGAATAACTGAAAGGCAAAATTAAAATAGAACACTTAACTGTTTACACTGATTTTTAACGGGTTGTCATGTAATAAATTGAGATTTACAAATCATTTCTGAGATATTATAAGTAAAATATGTGAATAAATTAAACGGAAAAGTTATACATGATAGTTGTATCAGAAAGATTAACCCGTACCCGCTATCTATTACGTTAGGCAAACAAATCAATATGAAATTTCTACCATTTTGTTTATATTTTCTTTTGAGCAACTGCAATATCTATCAGTTACAAAGAATAATAAATGCTTGTTGCATAGTTGTTGAGTGTCCACAAAAAAAGAAATACATGCAGTCGTATTAGAACACGAAAGTGAACGTCACTAAACACCAGCTTTTTCATATACGTCATCCATAATTGCTTTGTCAAGTTTAACTCAAATGTACTTATTTCTTTGTTCTCAGAAGTCCTCGAAACCCGGGTTAAATGAGTAGGGGTTTTTATATAACATACAAGATAAGGTAGAAAGCCCACAACTGGCGATTCAGTTATGCTTATAGAATGTGTAAACCTAGGATGCACAAGCGATAAACATCAAAGCAAAGAGAGAAGAGTTCAACTGGAACACCCAGCAACGGGTATCTAAAATAAGATCGGTCTGTGGGAAATACAACCCATTGCTTAAACCAATCTCCACAAAACCCGTTTCAACTAAATATATGGAATTTAGTAAAACATTTTCAAGCAGGAGACGTACTTTTAGTGAAAATGTTGAACGGCGCAATTGAAATATCGTGTAAAACAGGTGCATGATGAATCACATTATTACAAAAAGTTCCAGTAACAGCGATATCAAAAACTGATGTAACCTAGTAAAAAAAAGAAAGTTTGTAGGTAGCGGCATAAAACTGATGTAAGTCAACATAAATGATTACAAAAAAGATTGTAAGTAATTCATCCGGAAAAGGATACGTGTATAATTAATGATAACTTTGAATCGAAAACACCACTTTTTTCAAAGGTGTATGTTTACTATGATCTTTTCAAAGATGAAGTATGACGTTTAAACTAGGATAATACGATGAAACTAAGAAAATAATTTATGATGTGACAAATATTAAAAAAAATTAAATTTTCTTGAAAATGTATTAATCTATGAATAAAGCCGAAGATTGGTACGTATATCACTTACAGTTACCATCCTACATTAGCACAGAGAGATGAAATTGTCAGCTCAAATAACATAGTAGTAGATGTAGTATAAGTACTGGCAGTGATGAAAAAGATTAAGAACATAGGATATGATTTGAGAGGTATATCCGAGTGAAATAAATTTTTTTAAAAGCAAGAGAAGTTGATAGGGAATTCAGATTAGCATTTCAGAGAACACAAACAGTGGATGAAACTGAGCCATTTCATTCAAAGTATCTAACCACCAAGGACCACAACCAGATGGTCCATACCTACTAACATAACTCGACACTAACAGAAATGGCTCAATTCCAGACCACTAAACATTTGAATATTCACTTTGACGAAAGTAACAGTGAATCCAAAAAAAATGTATTCGGATTCTCATTCCAGATGAAAACAATGTACGTATGTACAAGGTTCTACGATGTGGCTGACTGACTGGACATAGAAAGGAGTGTCAGTGATATTCAATACGAAACTATGAGAAATAATAAATAGAATTACATAATTTTAAATTGCTCAGTAGACAGAAACATGTAGGTCCCGATGTTTTGCTACTTAGTTTAAGTCACTCCATAAATACAATAGACAACTTTTTTCTATATGAACAAAACTGATATAGTGCAAGAAACACATATACTGTGACTATGTTAATTCTAGATTTCTGATGACCCTAAGCGACAATGCAAACATGTACAGGATGCGGTTTCCCACGTCGAATAGCAAATGTTGCTTCAAGATTGACTTGCATCGGTATATGAACCAGTTGAGCATATTGACCGCTTCACTTATCTCGGGAGTCTCAGCAGTACTGATAGCCTGGTGATCGATGAAATCTCAACACAGATACAAAAGACTCGATTGGCTTTCGCCAACTTGCGTCATTTATACCCTAGGTGAAATATCCGTCTGCTAACTAAAGGACGAGTCTACTGCTCAGCTGTTCGCTCCGTCCTACTGTATAGCTGTGAAACATAGCAAGTCGGAGTAGATATTCATAGGTTACTACTGGTTTTCGATCATAGGTGTCTCGAAGCATCGCTCGTCTATCCTGGAACAACAGAGTAAGCAATGCTGTTGTTAGGAAACGAACACTAGGTCAGAATGGCAGATCAACTAATGAAATAGTGAAACATCAGTTGACGTGGTTGGAACATGTGTTACGAATGCTCAACCACCGACTGCCTCGTCGAGCTATGTAGTGTGGTGTAGGAGTAGGTTTGAAGAAAGCTAGGGGCGGCCAGACCAAAACATGACACAAATCCATGAAGATGATAGTAATCAATGGTTATAGACCCTGAATGACATGGCTTAAAACCGTTTGCAATGGCGCAGGTGCATTTAATCATTGTGTTCCCTGAAATTCTAATCCTTTGAATTCTTGAATATCTTCGAACCCTAATCTTATCAATTGCCACTAATACTTTTAAAATCTGTACTACTATGGGATTTGAAACGACGATTGTGATGACCCAACCGAGCTATATTGGCTGGAACACATGCTCTTGAAGGTTCTACCATGTCAGGCAGGTCGATTGGAGAACGATGAGACTAAAAGAAGCTACTCAAGGTCTGAAGGCGAAGTCGTACTGCTGACTGTAGAGAGGTGTGACAGCAGTAAGGTGTTTCCCTCAGACAACCAGCATCTGCAGCGATGCTGCCTTCTCACAGGGAAGGAAGGGTTAGAAAAGGTCGATCCTAAAAATGTCACACCTCACCCTACCTTACGGATTTCCGTCTCCGGCGGTAAAGGTATTCATTAAGGGCTTTAAAAAGAGTGGAGCTAATACTCAAAAAATTTTCATAAAAAGGCCGTGCGTGACCAGCCTCAAGCAATTTTCCCTTGAACTCTGCGGTCACGCTCCCAGGTCTCTGAGACCGACACTAATCTACCTTCCTTGACAGGTCCCTCAAGAAACAACCTTCTACGGTGTGGGCAGCCAGGAAGTGACCTCATAAAAGTAACAGCACACGAGACCGAATTGGTGGAAATCAAATCGTTCCTACACCGCCTTAACTCACACCACCGATAATGCCAATGAAGCGAGTTCATGAAACGTCATTCCTGGTCTCCTGAAATCCCGACCCAGACTACGTGTTGGAGCTTTTAATGTACGGACATTGTGTCAAATATGGCAACAGGCTTCCCTAGCTATGATATTAGAATATCGTGCCATCGATGTATGCTGCATCTCGGAAACGCGCACGCAAGATCCTACTAAGGTCATTAATTTGATTTCACCCTGTCAAAATAAAGAAGCAGCTCGATTTAATCTTCGTGTATCCGGGAGCACCGATGCTGCTTCAAGGGGTCTTGCTGGCATAGGCATAGCATTGAGTCGTAGGGCTGAACTGTCTCTCCTAGAATGGATCCTAGTAGACAGTCGCTTGTGCGCTGTCCGACTGAACAGGACAGTAAGGACTCGGAAAGATATGGACACACGTCGTTGCTTCTTCGTGGTATTTGCCTATGCCCTCTCTGACTGCAGTTCAGACGAGGTGAAAGATGAGTTCTACAGAAAGCTTTTAGACCTCCTCCAAAACGTTAGACACTCTGATGTAGTAATAATGGCTGGTGACCGATGGAGGGGTTCAATAGAGGACAGTCGCTCGTTTTGGGGCATATGTTTAGATTCAGATCATGCCCTAGTGTGAGCGCGCATTTGTTCGAGGCTTACTGGACGTAGGAAAGACACAGCGAGGAAACCTCTCAGGGTTCTACTTGATGATAATAAAGCTAAGAATATATTTCAGGTACAACTAGAAAGAGAATTAGGCAACCATGTAAGCGATTCGCTTCCGGAAGCAGGTTGGAATGATATCAAAAAGGCTGTGGAACAGCAGTGATATCCGCTAGTAAGGTAAACCACAAGGCTAGAATGAAGCAGTGGATCTCAATAGCATCCACCTAACTGATGGATGCTCGAATACTCATCCCACCTGGCTCTGAACATGAGGAAGAGCGAATTCAGGCTAACTCCTGAGGGTTTTAAGGATGATGGTCCAGTTTTAGCAGCTAGGTTGACTGAGATTTTAGGTAGAATCTCGGAACCAGACACATTCCCATCCGACTGGTCTCAATCCCTGATTGTCCCAACTTATAAGAAAGGACAAAAGTCTTCTTCTGGCAATCACAGTAAAGTCATTCAAACTAATATAGTTTCTAAATTGTTAGCCTCGATAATCCTTAGACGCCTTACTAGTGCTCGTGAAGAGCAGATTGGAGGAAACCAGGATAGTTTTAGACTTAGACGTGGATGTATAGACCACATCTTCACACTACGACAGGTCCTCGAACATAGACACATATCTAGGCGTCCTACAATAGTTGTTTTCCTGGACTTTAAGGCGGCATTCGACTCAGTGGATCGAGAGGTTCTGTGGCAGTGTCTGTCATTGAAAGGTGTACCAAAGAAGTACATTAACCTTATACAAGCTCTCTACTCGAACACCACTGGTCGGGTGAGAGCTTATGGCGAACTGTCATCGGAATTCTTTACTTCAAGTGGTGTCCGTCAGGGCTGTCCACTCTCTCCATTCTTGTTTAATCTTGTCAGACATGCTTATAGATATAATATTATCTTCGTCCGACTTTTCAGAAGTCGACTTTCTACCAAGAAAATCGCTTACTGACCTAGAATATGCCGATGACATAGTTCTATTCGGTGAAGACGCTGACAAAATGCAGTCTTCCGACTAACCTAAGCAACAATTCAAGCATGTTCGGTATGCGGTTTTCCCCCTCGAAATGAAAAATGTTGCTTCAAGATTGGCTTGCGACTTCACCGGAACTAGTGATAGGGAGCGAAGTAGTAGAACGTGTAGACAGCTACACGTATCTGGAGAGCCTCATCAGTGCTGATGGCCTGGCGAATGACGAAATCTCTGCAGGGATACAGAAGGCTCGATTGGATTTCGCCAACTTGCGTTACCTAAGGCGAAGGCGAGATATCCGCTTGCTAACCAAAGGACGAGTGTACCGTGCAGCAGTTCGCTCCGTCCTACTGTGTAGCTGTGGGACATGGCCAGTCAAAGTAGAAGATATTCGTAGGTTACTACTGGTTTTCGAACATAAGCGTCTCGAAACATCACTCGTGTATCTTGGAACGACAGAGTAAGCAATATTGTTGTTAGGAAACGAGTACTGGGTAAGAATGGCAGATCAGGAGACGAAGTAGTGAAACTTCATCAGTTGACGTGGTTGGGAATTAAGTTTAGTACGCCTAACTGACTGACTGACTACAACGTAGAAATTCGTACGTGGTTGTATCCTTATTGTTGTAACGCTCGCTTGGATAATTCCCGGCTAATTCCTGTTGCTTAGTATTCTCTGACCACGATACACTGGACAAGTTCCAAAGAATCAAAAACACAGTGGAACAGGAAAAGATTATATTCCAAATAGCAAGGTTAAATGGAAATAAGAAGCCGAAGGCGAAATAGATACAACGTTAGTATCTTTATAGTATTTACATGAGAAGCTTCTGGATAGTAATTCACATGATCGACTGGATTAGATTTAGCCAATCAGCGTGCAGCTAACAACACGAGAATTTTCTACCCTGTTCTTCAAGAATCGATCAGACTCTGATTGGATAGGAAATTAGCCAATCAGTGCGCAGCAAAGTAGTCATGCTTTCATTCCACCTGTCCCACTAACACTCATCGAGGCTCATTTAACTTGCTGAGTTTATGATTAAGCATCTCATGGATTCTCTGGAGGTCAAATGATAGTAACGGTTTGAAAATTTTGACAGAGAAGCTAAAATATGTACGTTTTTTTATGCTCAATAAATGTTTTATGAGTACCTAATAGAAGTAGAAGCACTTGATAGACACCATAAGCTTAACTTTGAGGGCCTTAACTGAGGCGACGCAGTATTAATGAAACTACGTCCCCACAACATCTAAGTCAGCTTGAAGCGCAAAATTTCACATCCCCTAATGAGAGAAGACATAGGAGATGATTAATGAACATGATTACATTAAACGCTGTACAATGGTGGACTGCAGATCAGCAATTAGATACGAGATTTCTCTTACTGCGATCCCTACATTGGTGTCCTTGATTTGAAGCACTTTTAGTACACACAACAAAGTGACATTATAGGTGAAAAGTCACCGTTTTATCGTTAAATCGGAAAACATGCGCTAACTTACATACTGAAAACCTAATACATTTAACCCAAAGAATACCACATGTAACTATTACTGAGGAAAGTGGTATAATACCATAAAGTTGTGCGAAAAAAAAACAGTAAAATATTTCTAAAGAAAATATAACTATACATGCACACCTTTTGTTCCTGATAGTGTACCATGAACAGGTTATCCAATACACTAAATGATACAAGGCCTTGGGAATCCAAAACTAAAAGGTGTGTCAACGCAATAGGATCTTCTCTAAAATAAGAGGAAATTCATTTACCTACAGAAATAAGAAACTTACAGTTTTAAAGTATAAAAACAAACAGTTCGGGTTAGACTTTGTTCGTTGTTTAGCTTTACGTAGCGAAGAGTACAAAGGTACAATTTTTCATATCTGCAACGAAAGTTTGAAGGTATAAATAGTCACTTACAATACAGTTAAAAAACTGTGCTCCTGTTCTACTGGTACTGCATCACCATTTGCACCTATTGATGTAGGACATGGAAACTTTGGTCCTTTTGTGATTGTACCGGGTGTCTATGTGATAACAAAAAAAAATACCGAAGATTTCCTATATGAAATAAAAAGCTTGACCAAATACATTATAAATTCCTTGTTTAAAAATATTTAAACAGTCGAGAAGTACTTGCAGTTTTAACGTGCTGTTAATGAAGACTGTGATGTTTCAGTCAGTCAGTCAGTTGCAACGTAGAACTTCGTACGTATGTACATAAGTTCATGTTGCCATACCACATTATTAGCACAGAGATGCAAATGTCAAAGCAAATCCCATAGTGATAAAGATAGTAGAGGTATTAATGTTATAATAAAGAAGACTAGGGTTTAAGATATTATTCAAAAAATATAATTCAGTGAGATAAGGTTAGAAAGACAAAGGTAGAGGTGCTAACGAATCCAGAAGATTAGGATTTGAGAGAGCTCAAAGAGTGGATGCACCTGCGCCATTGCAAACGATTTTGAGCCATGTCGTTCAAAGTCTCTAACCATTGATGACTTTCGTCTCGCGGACCCCAACCAGGTAGTCTACATCTACCAACATGACTCAGTCCACTTGTCAGTGACTTCATGGATTTCTGCCATGTTTTGGTCTGGCCGCCCCTAGCTTTCTTCCAACCTACTCCTACACCACAAAACATAGCTCGTCGAGGCAGTCGGTGGTTAGGCATACGTAACACATGTCCCAACCACCTGTACTGATGAAGTTTCACAACTTCATCGATTGATCTGCCATCCTTACCTAGTACTCGTTTCCTAACGACAGCATTGCTTACTCGACTGTCCCACGATATACGAGCAATGCTTCTTAAACATCTATGATCGAATACTAGTAACTTACGAACATCTTCTACTCTTAACGGCCATGTTTCACAGCCATATAAGAGAACGGAACGAACTGATGCGCAGTACACCCGCTCTTTGGTTAGCGAACGGATATCACGCCTACGCCATAAGTGACGCAGGTTGGCAAAAGCCAATCGAGCTCTCTCTATCCGAGCTGAGATTTCGTCAGTCACCAGACCGTCAGCACTGATGAGACTCCCCAGATAAGTGAAGTGATCTACACGCTCGACTACTTCACTCCCTATCACTAGTTCAGGTGCCGAAGCAACCCAGTCTTGAAGCAACATTTTGCATTTCGAGGGGGAAAACCGCATCCCGAACATGCTCGCATTGTTGCTTATGGTAGTCAGAAGACTCTGCATTTTGTCAGCGTCTTCACCGAATAGAAGTATATCATCGGCATATTCTAGATCAGTAAGCGACTTTCCTGGTAGAAGGTCAACCCCTGAAAAATCTGACGAGCTTAATGTTAACTCTAAGAGGATGTCTACGACAAAGTTAAACAAGAATGGAGAAAGTGGACATCCCTGACGGACACCACTTGAAGTAGAGAATTCCGGTGACAGTTCGCCATAAGCTCTCACTCGACCAGTGGTGTTTGAGTAGAGAGCTTGTATAAGGTTAATGTACTTCTCTGGTACACCTTTCAATGACAGACACTGCCACAGAACCTCTCGATCCACTGAGTCGAATGCCGCCTTAAGGTCCAGGAACACGACTATTGTCGAACGTCTAAATGTGTGTCTGTGTTCCAGGACCTGTCGTAGTGTGAAGATGTGGTCTATACAACCACGTCCAGGTCGAAAACCAGCCTGGTTTTCTCGAGTCTGCTCTTCGCGAGCTCTAGTTAGACGTCTAAGTATAATCGAGGCTAACAATTTAGAAACTATATTAGTTAAACTTATTCCCCTGTGATTGTCACAAGAGGACTTCTGTCCTTTCTTGTAGACTGGGACAATTAGCGACTGAGACCAGTCAGATGCGATTACGTCCAGTTCCCAGGTTCTACCTAGGATCTCGGTCAGTCTAACCGTTAAAACTGGACCACCATCCTTAAACATCTCAGGGGTAAGCCTATCGGGACCTGCCGCTCTACCTCTCCTTAGATTTCCTATAGCTTTCTCAACTTCATATAAACTGGGAGGACTTAAATCGATTTGCCATTCAGGATGACTGGAGATCGTGGGCAACCGAAGAGTGGCTGAAGGCCAGTTGAACTGGTCCCTAAAGTGTTCTGCCCATCGGTCCAGTCTCCTGGATTGAGAATGGATAATAAGACCATCCTTTTCCGAGATAGTCTCACTTACATTCGGGTTCCTAATACCGGTTTCTTTGATAAGGCGGAAAAGTTGTCTAGTGTTGCCTATCGCCGCTGCCTTTTCCATCGCTTTTGCTTTCGCCACCCACCACTGTTCACGGTCGTTACGTAGGCTTTTTATAAGTCTGCACCTAAGCTGACTACGCTCTTCATCATGTTCAGAGTCAGGTGGGATGCGTTTTCGAGCATCCATTAGTTCGGTGGATGCGACTGAAATCCACTGCTTCATCCTAGCATTGTGGTTTACCATGCTAGCAGATATCACTGCTGTTTCCACAGCCTTCTTGATATGATTCCAACCTGCTTCAGGATGGGAATCACTTGCATGCTCGCCTAACTGTTTTTCTAGTTCCTCCTGAAATATTTTCTTAGCTTGATTATCATCAAGTAAACCCCTAAGAGGCTTCCTTACGGTGTCTTTCCTACGTCCAGCAAGCCTTAAACAAATACGTGCTCGCACTAGGGCATGATCTGAATCTAAACATGTGCCCCAGAACGAGCGACAGTCCTCTATCGAACCCCTCCATCGGTGGCTGATGGCGATATGATCTAGTTGTGTCCAATGTTGAGACGACTTCGGGGGTCGCCAGGTCAAAAGGTGTTTTTTCTTATGCTTAAAATTATTGTTTGCTAGAAATAGTTGGTTATCTGAGCACAGTTGCAACAGACGGGCGCCATTGTCTGTTCTTTGAGCCGCGAGACCGTAACATCCACCTAGGTGTCTTTCATTTTCACTTAGTCTACCTACTTGTGCATTGAAGTCACCAGCCATTATAACTATATCAGAGCGCTTAACTTTTTGGAGGAGGTCCGAAAGCTTTCTGTAAAACTCATCTTTTACATCATCTGGGCTGCAGTCAGTGGGGGCGTAGGCTGATATGACGAAGAGGCAACGGCGAGTGTCCCTATCTTTCCGAGTCCTTACTGTCCCGTTGAGTCGGACGGCGCACAAGCGACTATCTACAGGGATCCAGTCAAGGAGAGATTGTTCTGTCCTACGACTCAATGCTATGCCTACGCCAGCAAGACCCCGGGAAGCAGCATCAGGCCTACCGGATACACGAAGGGTAAATCGAGCTGCTTCTTTATCTTGACATGGTGAGGTCAAATGAGTGATGCTACTCGGATCCTGTATGCGCGTTTCCGAGACGCAGCACACATCGATGGAACGAGATTCTAAAGTCCTAGCTAATGATGCCTGTTTCCCTATTTGACACAATGTCCGTACATTGAATGCTCCAACATGTAGTTTGGAACGGGGTTTAAGGAGACCAGGAACGACGTTTCGCAAACTCGCATCGTTTGCATTAGCTGTGCACTGTAATAAATGAATGTGAGAAGAGTTAGTTGTGGAGGTAAGAGAGGTATTAGGGAATGTGGGAAGGATTTGATTTTGAACAATTTTGTCTCGTGTGCTGTTGCGGGTATGAGGGCGGTTATCACTTCCCGGCTGCCCACACCGTGGAAGGTTGTTTCTTGACGAACCTGAAAAGGAAGATGGATTAGTGTTGGTGCGTGACCGCAGGGTCCAAGGGACAACTGCTTGAGGCCGGTCACGCACGGCCTTTTTATGAAAGGTTTTTGAGGATTAGCTCCGTTCTTAAAGGCCCTTAGTGGGCACCCTTACCCAAGGAGACGGAAATCCGTGAGGTAGGGTGAGGTGTGACATTTTTAGGATCGACCTTTTCTAACCCTTCCTTCCCTGTGAGAAGGCAGCATCGCTGCAGATGCTGGTTGTCCGAGGGAAACACCTTACTGCTGTCACACCCCTCTGCAGTCAGCAGTACGACTTCGCCCTCAGACCTTGGGTAGCTGCTTTTAGTCTCATCGTTCTCCAATCGACCTGTCTGGCATGGTAGGACCTGCAGGAACATGTGTTCCAGCCAGTATAGCTCGGTTGGGTCATCACGATAAGCAAGCCCGACCACCACGTCAAGGTAGCAGCTTCGGTCGGGTGATGTTTCACATTATTTAGAAAAAGAAAATATCAAAATAAACCAGACCATAGATACTACCTTGACATGGTGGCAGAGATTTTCTGTCGTGATGATCCAACCAAGCTATATTGGCTGGAACATATGTTCCTAAAGGTTCTACCATGTCAGGCAGGTCGATTTGAAAACGGTGAGACTGAGAGCTGCAACTCAGGCTCTGAAGGCGAAGTCGTACTGTTGACCAGAGAGGAGTCACAGCAGTAGGGGGTTCTCTCGGACAACCGACAACTGTAGCGACGCTGCCTTCTCACAAGCAAGGAAAGGGTTAGAAAAGGTCGACCATCAAAATGTCACACCTCACCTTACCCCTCGGATTCCCGTCTGCGGCGGTAAGGCCTCCTGAAGAACAGAGCTAACACTTCCAAAACTTCTCATGAAAAAGCCGCGCGTGACTAGCCTCAAGCAGATGTCCCTTGAACTCTGCGCTCTAAGACAGACGCTAACCTACCTCCCCTTTCAGGTTTATCAGGAAACACCCTACCACGGTGTGGACTGTCGGGAAGTGACAAACCCGTAACAGCATACGAGACCAAATTGGTCACAATCACATCCATCCTACACCCCCTAACATCCCTCATATCTCCATGTCTCCATGTCTCTAGCTAAGAATGGCAGATCAACTAATGAAATAGTGAAACTTCAGTTGATGTGGTTGGAACATGCGTTATGAATGCTCAACCACCGACTGCCTCGTCGAGCTACGTAGTGTGGTGTAGGAATAGGTTTGAAGAAAGCTAGGGGCGGCCAGACCAAAACATGACACAAATCCATGAAGTCACTGACAACTGGATTGAGTCATGTTGGTAGGTGTCGACTACTTGGTTGAGGCCCGCGAGATGATTGTCACCAATGGTTATAGACCCTGAATGACATGGCTCAAAACCGTTTGCAATGGCGCAAGTGCATCCATTCTTTGAGCTCTCTCAAATCCTAACATTCTGAATTCCTCATCACCTCAATCTTTCTCTTTCTAAATTCGTCTCACTGAATTATACTTCTTGAATAATATGCTCGAACCCCAATCTCTCCGATTACTGCTGATAGTTCTGCTTCTTCTACTACTATGGGATTTGAATTGACGATTGTGCCTCTCTGCTAATGCGGTAAGGCAACCTGAACTGATGCACGTACGTTCGAAGTCCTACTTTCTGATTGACTGACTGACCTTAAGAAATAAAAATATTTACTGATAATTTAGATGAATTGATTACGAATGAAATCCTGATATTTTCATCGGCAACTCAAATAACCATTATAGATGGTACGCTTTATGTTGCACTTGTATTATTGAATCGTTAAGCTCTAGATTGGAAATCCTATGGACTTTCTGTCAACTTATTCGGATCTCATTATAACTCTAAATAGTTAAAACCATTTTAAAGTTTACTTACAGCACCGGGTACGCAAATAGCGTACAAACATTTTGAGAAGCATGTGATAGTTATTTTATAATTTCAGCTTTTTTAAGGAAGGTTTTCTGCTTAAGGTGTTATTTTTTACATTATCTAACTAATCAGTTGATGGTAGAATGGACCGATAACTCATGAATTTTTCTGGACAACATCAAATACAAAAAGCGGATATCGAAAAACACTAGGTCCCGGTGAAAATAGAGCATTAAAGAGATGGATTAGTTTCCGAAATTTTATGGAAAGGGATTTCAATTTCATCTTACCTTTAGCTGGAATATATGCAGTTTGTTCTCTAGATCTGAAGTGAGACAAACACTAGTCTCAGAATTCCATAAAAACCAGCACGTGTTGAGAGGTATACAACCATTTAGGCGTAGAGTATTTTTCTCAGGAAATACCTAGTGTGGTATAAAAGCAAACTTTATTTGAAAATGCTTACTCATACGAAAACAACAAGATGGAAAGTAAAAAGTTAGAACTTCTGAAATTAGTAGTCTAATTTTTTGGAGGATTAACTTAAGTCAACTTTAATTACATCACTAAATCATAATGACCACCTTTCTATACACAGAGAATGTAACACTATACATTTCCCCTAACTGGAAATCAAGACTGAGCATTACCTGTTAGCAAGGTATTTTTGTTGGACTCCTTACAATCTAGGCACAGTCATGCATGAAACAAAAAGATAAGAAAATGGCTGTTTCGGTTTTCTGGGACAAATACTTAACTTTCATTTACAGCTAGGAATAACAAAAAAGTATTTATTACAGAATCAAAGTTTTGAATTGAAAGTGTTTTGCCACAAAAATTAGCGAGAAAAGCTGACATAAAAGTATCTATTTCTGTTAAAATTAATATATATATATATATGGATGCCTTAGGTAAAAAGTTTTACACTTCAAAATCAAATGCCAACCGCAGAACAAACAATAAGTCAGTCAGTTACAATGTAGAACTTCGAACGCACGTACATCAGTTCAGGTTGCCTTACCACATTAGCAGAGAGACGCAATCGTCAATTCAAATTCCATAGTAGTACAGATTTTAAAAGTCAGTCAATCAGTCAGATGCAACGTAGAACTTTGTACATAAGTACATCAGCTCATGTTGCCATACCTCATCAGCACAGAGATATAATTTTCGATTCAAATCCAATAATAGAAGAGGTAGTTAAGGTATTGGAAGTAATCGGAGAGGTTAGGATTAGAAGATATTCAAGAAATATGATTCAGTGAGAAAAGTTTAGAACGTCATAACTAGAGGGGTTGAAGAATCCAGAAGATTAGGATTTGAGAGAACACAGAGAATGAATTCACCGGCTCCATTGCAAACGGTTTTAAGCCATGTCATCCAGGGTCTCTAACCATCGATTATTATCATCTCGCGGACCCCAACCAGGTAGTCGACAACTACCAACACGACTCAGTCCACTAGTCAATGACTTCGTGGATTTCTGCCGTGTTTTGGTTTGTTCCAACCTATTCCCACACTACAAAACAGAGCTCGTCGAGGCAGTCGGTGGTTGAGCATTCGTAACACATGTTCCAACCACGTCAACTGAAGTTTCACTATTTCATTAGTTGATCTGCCATTCTTACCTAGTGTTCGTTTCCTAACAACAGCATTGCTTACTCTGTTGTTCCAGGATAGACGAGCGATGCTTCGAGACACCTATGATCGAAAACCAGTAGTAACCTATGAATATCTACTCTGACTTGCCATGTTTCACAGCTATACAGTAGGATGGAGCGAACAGCTGAGCAGTAGACTCGTCCTTTAGTTAGCAAACGGATATCTCGCCTACGCCATAAGTGACGCAGGTTGACAAAAGCCAGTCGAGCCTTCTGTATCCGAGCTGAGATTTCGTCAGTCACCAGGCCATCGGCACTGATGAGACTCCCAAGATAAGTGAAGCGGTCTACACGTTCGACTACTTCACTACCTATCACTGGTTCATATACCGATGCAAGTCAATCTTGAAGGAACATTTTGCTTTTCGATGGGAGAATCACATGCCGAACAACAGAGCACAATTGGGTTTCGGAAGAAGTGGATCTCTCAAATGAATAGATGTAACTGAGTTATGAAACAGTTTTTCAAGGTACTTCCAATCAAACAAAATCTACGGAAAACTTGGTTTTCGATATCTTATGAGCTTCATCCCATGGTGAAAACACAATCTCTTCTAAATGAACTTAACGACACAAAGACAAAGGACTATGAGTTAACACTTGAGTTTGTAGGTTACGGTTTAAGGAGGACAACTGATGAAATTTCAGTCAGATCTTACTTTGGATGAGTCAACCTTCTAACGAAAGGTTAATAAAAATTCAGCTATAACTATGCGGCAACAAATTTGTAATCATCAGCATTTACTACAATCCATAAAATTGAATAGTTTGTTTTGAGTTCGGAAAAGAAAGAGTTCCTGAGACCGTGTAGTAGGTCATACTTTTACAATGCTATTGGTATTTCGCGTTTTGTCCATAGCTTGATTCAGTACTATAGTCCTATAATCCTTGTAAACTACTTTGTAGTCCTTGATTCTTTACACTCAATCATAGTTACATAAATAATGCAGGAATGAAGGCATGAATCGTCACACTGGCTCATGAAAATGGCATCTTATTATTCGTAGGGTTGTAGTAAACCAAGAACGTTAACCAAGAGCTTTTTATACAGAATATATAGGACTAAGCTATTTCTATGTTTCTTATCAGAGCAATCAGTCAGTCAGTTACAACGTACAACTTCGTACGTAAGTACATCAGTTCATGTTGCCATACCACATCATCAGAGCAATAGTTAACAAGGATTTCTGTAAAAGCCGGTAAAACCTCAAGCGAAAAGCATTCAGTGTTTTTTGAACCCTTTGTAAAAAAAAATACAAATAAAGATCAGAAAAGCCAGCATTTCGGTAAACCATGGTTATACGCTTAGCCTAAGTTCAACCAATAAAAGCTACACAAATAACGGTACATTGATTTCTTTTACGAATAAAGTTATAGCTGAAATCTTCCGGTACTGAGAACTGAGTTTTAAAACCACTAGAGTAATGATACTGCGACTGACTTTATTCGTTTTGAAATTAAATGCTTTTACTGCTGTATAAACAGCTTCTGCTCTCGATTCATACTTGGGATTAATGTTAATAAAAGTGGGGCTAAATTAGATAAAGAAAATCCTTATCAGACGTAAAAAAAGCAAAGTTACTTGATATAACTCCAGTTGTTCGTTTGTGACAAAAAGGATTTCATAGTTGGAACACCACACAAATCCCAAGAGCGATGCCGATTTGTTCTAAACACGGAAGTTATTAATAAGAGACAACGTAACCTTGCATTCTTGAGAATACTGTACACCACCGGGACAATTTCCTTGAAAATTAATAAAATCAACTGACCGATGGGTCCGTTGAACTCCTAAAATTTTGGTATCCTCAGAAAATTTAATGCTTAGAACATCGCCTTGATCATCTATGCTGCGATAAAGAGAATCCAAAAAACATAAACGAAATAATTTCAATATGCCGCAAAATAGGTAGACTAAAAAACATTGCAGTAGCAATTCACTCTGGACAAACTCGAAATAACTAGTGTGAGCTGTGGCGTATTCAAGATATCCGTCGACCATCCAAAGAACGAGTTTGCTGTGCAGCAGTTTGCTGCAGGCTATTTTACGTGCGGAACTAATTCATTAAGAACGAATCGCTTGCAACAGTGCAGATAAATCTATTCCTTGTCCTCCTCCAAATTCTAGGTTTCTACATTTTTCATAATTTCATTTTTATTCACTGACCTATATTTTCTCGAATATTACCTTCGATCACTGAACTTTACCACTATCGCTAATACTGTTAATAATTCCACCACTTCTCATTCCAGAGAATTTCATCTATTTGTGCTAATGGGTTATGTCAACTTGAACCAGGTTCTACGTTGCGATTGGTTGAATACAGCATACTTACTAGATCTGGTAAATTTGTAAATTAGGTATATAACTGTAGGTAGTGATGAATTGCGAAATATTCCCTACAACTCAAGATTGCTGTTAGATATTTTTGGTCGATCAATATGAAGCAACATCATCTTGCGGGTACAGAGTGAAATGTAATTATCTGACACCATTTAATTAATATGTATACAACTTACCGAAAATTCAAAACCAAATCATCTACAACAGATTTCACATTGACACCCATCGTACCACGACTCCTGAGTGTAAATATCTACAGCCATCAATATGATAAAATCAGGGTTACGTGTTTCCGAGCATCATCAAAGTAGACACTATTAAGTGTGCCAAAAGGCTCGAAAACTGTTACTTTCGTCGATAAATACAGAAAAGAATTGCAAGTCTCAACAGCCAGTTTTGTGTAACGCCTAATTTGATTACAGTGCGGAAGTTCAAGTTATGATAAGCTGGTGTTCATCTATTGAATTTTTTGTACTTCAAACCTAAATAGAATGAAAACAAGAAGTGAGCACAAAGAAATCAATTAATGCATACTGAATCATACATAAATCAATTAGTCCTTCTCGTATTTATTAATTTCGATACATGGATATGTGTGACCAGATTGTTCAAATCGCGTGATGTAAATACATCGCCCTGTTCAAATTAACTCCGTTTTGTCACCATTTTATCAAATCTAATTGTCCCTTGAAATATACACTATGGTTCTTCAGTTGATGATCTATTAATTACTGAACAGCAGTTATACTTGCTGTCCACACATTCGTCGATATCGGCGTCATATACTGAGTCAAGAGCCGTGAACGCAAATAAGAAGAAAGCATGATTACTAACAGTGGTGGAATGTTTAGATAATCGCATGGGTGATTATAGAGTCTAACAAATAAGATCCTTGGTTTGAACGGACAATGGTAGTCTTAGAAACAAGCTAAACCTAAGGATGATCCGATAAATTCACCAGAAGGCTATATTGTAAATAATTTTCAGATCTTAAAGTAGACGTCTGCTCATCGGAACCACTCAAAACCGTCCATGCAATTTTTACTCCATAGATAAATGTGCTTTAAATTAAATCACAGACTAGGCAACTTGAGTAGCTTGGCAGTATTTACTTCCAACACCTGAGGTTTTCTTCACGAACTCGCCGGTGGGTTTCTATTTCAGCGAGTAGCGCTTTCATTTTGGCAGGCCCTACTTGCATGTTGCGACTATCAGGATTCTATATGGTCAGGGTTCATTATTTACTGGAAGATCTTTTACTGTCAGTACTTAAGCCAACAGTTAAACTGTCATTACTGGTAATACTGATTAATGCCGGAATACCCGTCGCCTCCTGGATCAATATCATCTTACTCGAACACCGAAATATACACAGTTACTCCCAACTTATTTCTGCCGCCATATGAAAGAAACTATTAACATATGTTGGTACAGTCAACAATCATAAGCAGATTAAAGCTTACGAAACCGACGAAATAATTAAAAAGAATATGAAGAAAATAGATTTATGTAGTTTCGACACGAAGACAAAAATCATGAAGGAGAAAGCTGGGCACAAGTGCAAGGTTTCTCTGAAAGGTTTCGACTGTAGTTAGAACTTGACATTGAGAAACAGATGTGATGAAGAAGTTCGAAGAGACAGAAGACTTACAGAAGAACCTAGCAGCCAAAATACAAACAAGCCCTAAATATTTGCTTATGTCCATGACCTAAAGAAAACCTACGAACCAGTGTGTTTTTGCTCTCATATGTCTGAACAGCGAATATCTTACAGCTTTAGAGATGGCTAAGATCTTCAACACCAACTTCACCCATTTTTTAAACCGAGCTCCTACACTTGAGAGTACTACTCAAACTCAGTAACAGCTGATGGCCTAGTGAATATCAGATTTACTCTTGACTTAAGCATAAGACAATTAAAATTCCAGGAGTACTAAAAGCCAAGGAAAGTCACCAGGATATAACAATGTTCGCCCTATAGTCTTGAGACAGTGTGCAGAAACAATCAGTTCACAGGTATGCGACCTGTTCAGACATTCACTGGAATCGCAGCAACTCTCAGGTGAAATAAAACAAGCTACTTACTCTCAGGTCTTATTATTATCCTTAAAAGGTAAGATAGGAATGATCTAGACTGTTACAGACCAGTCGCATTAATACAATAATATCGAATGTAACGGAAGGGTTGGCGCATAAGCAAGTGAGACATTACATGCACGAGAACAGCAAACTCCGTGAAGACGAACACTCTTCTTACAGCATGTGACTGCTGGACAAAATGCTGGGACACAAAAATATGTTAACATGACCCAACGCCCCCCCAAGTGCGAAAGTTGAGTATATGGGCTTTACCACAGGGACGAGTAACAAAATAGGCGATAGAGTTAAAGAGTAATCCTTACGAAGATAGGCTTCAGGATCTGAGATTACTCTTTTTGAGTTACAGGAGAATAACAGGTGATTTGATAATTGCGTACAACACATTATGCAAGCCAAAACATCTTAACATGAGCATCTTACTGAAGCATTATCAGCATGCCCCTCAAACTGATCCTCAACACATGGTATATCAAACAGCGAACACCCAGGTTTATGCAAACTTTTTCTCTTTAAGGGTTGTAGCAACTTGGAATGCTCTACCAGCCGAAGTGACAATATATCCCTCAGTGGATAACTTCGAGAAGAGAATTGATCAACAAGTGCCTACCTACGGATTATCATTTTCCTCTTAGACTAGCTCTGCCTGATGCATGTTTCAAACTTGCTAGTTGTTATTATTACTATTTCCTCATATCATTAACTAATTCTATCTCAGTTATTTCCTGTCTTCCCCTTGATTACACTTCTGTCCTCTGATACAATCGTCACTAGCAACTGATGAACGTAACTGATTATCTACACAGTTCGGAAATTGTTCGCTTCTCATTATCATCAGAATTTCCTCCTCAATATTGTTTTCATTGCACTTAACTAATTTGTGGCCACGTCACATAATAGCTCATGGTATTCTGAAACCCTACTTCCACGAAACGGTCGTCGTCATTCAAATCTCGGGACATGCAAACGTTCAAACAACTGCCAGGTGAGTAGAATTAGTGCAGTCGAGTAGCTAGACCACCATTCTTTGGACATTACCAAAAATAATGTTGAATGTTGATCACAATTTTCACGATTGCATTTATTTCATAGATACGGACATCGAAATTGTGAAGTTCGAGCCTTATTACAGCGTAAGCTTTTGGTTCCCAATTGTATGACAAACCGATAGCTATTCAAAAATAAACTGTTTCTCATATACCTCTCATTCCCATGTGACAAGCTACACCACTGATGGATCAGTAACATGATTACTACGTACGTTAAACAGATGAAATTTGTGTCTTGGTCGCTCGGTTGCTTTTAGTATGAATTACTTTGAATTACCGTATTAGGAATAAGTGACTAATTTTTGCCATCGCAGATCTTGTGACAAACGATGGACATGTTATATCTAACGACAGGAGTGAAATTCGAAATTTATATTGGTGAAGTTACATTTTTGTACATCATTAGATTGCGCGATACTTTGTTCATGAACTTTTTAACTATTTCGACATCATCAGTTCTGGAGCGCCACACTGTGCAGTGTGGTGAATTTAATTCATCTATTGCACTTGACTTAATAAGTTTTACACTAACTTACTAGTTCATATTTGATGAGCGTAATTGATCGCGTTTATTCGTAGCCAGTGAGATTGATAAAACCAACGTTCATTACGTAGTCACACTGAAGATGGGTTTGCTAAAACATGAAATATTATGAAATTAGAGAACCAAAAGAGCAAAGAGGTAAGTATCAAAATGTAAACAAATTGACTGCACAAAAATATGACGAAAAAAATTATGATAGCAGCTGACACAGATGTCATGTGCATGCCTGGGCATACATTTTGAGGTTACAGATGACAATTCATGAGTCAAACTTCAGATAATATAAGAAGCAACTTGACCTGAATATCAGCCCATCAATGTGCAACTCGCCGTCAGTTTGTATTTGCCTATTATTGACAAAGTACGTCCGTATGCCGTAGTTTCTGTTTGCACAGGGTTTTACTGTCATTCCCTTTGCAACTTGATAATATTCATATCTTTTTCATGAGGAGGGAGCAAAACAGTGTTGTGGGTTTCTGCTTACAGGTGAATATAGATCTTTATCAATAATATGAAGAGCTCAAAATTCAGCATATATAGTTGCCCTTCCTTAAGCTGAATATTGGGATAGGGTTTGTTCGCATTTCTCTGGCAGCTCTCATCAGTTTCCATGCTTTTATAAGCTTAAGGTCGGCTCCCTCTGAGGTTCTCAAGGGGACGTGATCACAGTCGTTCAGCACCCGTTCCTCTAGTAAAATTACTTCGGTTTGGAGCTATCTAACTGGCGTGCAACAGTTTTCGAAACCTTCAGATGTGTCGGAGGCTTCGGTGTATTACGACCCATATAAATACCTATTATACTTCAATTCGTATTCTCTCAGGTAGCATGGTTTCAGGAATAAGCATTTCTGTAAAACCAGCCCTTTAACTATGATATGCGTGTGGGCAATAATGCTTGATCGTTGAAGTGAGATTAATGTGGCATATCTTGTCATCTCTCTCGAAGGTGTCGGCGACCCACTGCTGCTAGATGTCGGAGCCCGTTTAGTGTGGAATCTGTAGATTACATGTATATTTATTTAAAAGTTTGGCGTGAATTACGTCGGCTCCGTTGTGATGAGTGACTGATGGCTGAGAATCGATGCAAGTTAACTACTTAGATCCATATAATCAGAATTGGTTGGATAAATGCACATTTATTTTCATGAATTCATTCTCCAGATGGTAATATTAACAGGTCTCTTTCAAAGATAACTATAAGTCCACCTTGAGTATCACTATTATTCAAGGCGCGGGACGAAATGTTATGCTCCACATACCCTATTTGTTTGCGTATTTCAGAGGAGAAAAAAAGAGAGGAGCAGAACGGAAGGCATTCATGATTGCGAGTGGGTCATGACTCAATAAATGTATTTATTATTCAAACATTAAAGTACAAATAACTGTAAATTTTCCTTTTCTTTTTTAGATTTTCGTGGAACACTTCTACAAAGGAAACGCAATTAGTGAAAAATCTACATTTACTATTATGCGTGTTTTGTTTAACTGTACCAAAAAGCTGCCATCCTTCATAACTTGCTGCTCTCTGTATCGCCCACGTTCTCCCTCAAATATTTATTTATAATTTGGTGACCGGATCAAAATCAATCTAGAATCGGTCGCCAATAAAATTGTTGAGCTGACGTTTTTATTCAAATAATTCGATTACTATGAGTCCACTATTCATCTGTCACCATCTTTATAATGTTGCGATACTATTAATAGTGTCGTTTATTACAAATTATACTTGCATCGACGTTTCGAAATGGTGGATGGCTATAATAATAGACTCCGAGGTGCAGGTCATTGCATTTTCACCTGTCTCCTCCCCGTCAATTCAGGTTGTTAGTTTATTTTACGTGCAGGATTTTTGCATTACCGCTAGGTACTTGAAGGCAACAGGTGCCTAGCTTTCTGTTGTATCGTTTGGTGGCATCAAGTCACAAGCTACGATATTTCGACCAAGATCTGCTAATGGCTCTGTCATTCCTACCTACGGTAGACGACAGCTAAAGATCAACTTGAATAATCGACGACAGTATCTATGGACGCTGCTGATGTTCCCATAGCCGCACTTGGTATCGATTACTTACAGCACTGTGTATTGCTATTCGATTCACGTAGGCTGCGTTAATCGATATTTGGATATTTGATGAATTCCACAAAGTAACGAAACCGAGGAGATTCAACTGGTGATTAATTGTGTAAGCCACATCATCACATACAGACCCAATTCACGGCAAAACCTCACAGACTAGTACTGGACAATTCAGTCTTCACTAAGCGTGAGTTTGACAGTTTATTTGCTATATGTATTACTTCGTTTTTCTCACAGTCCTTGAGCCTCCTCTCTGTATTCGGTTCGCGACAAAGATGGCGTTATTTGAAGATCACACGGGGATTACAGAGCAGCAACGTTAGATATCCAATGCTCAGCCTCCAAACTTGTATACAGCACGACATTGCATCTGCCTGGGGAATTTTTTTACACCACGGAGCAGCGATTTTATGTATATCAGATAACGTCGAACGACTATCTGCGTAGATGAGAATATTGCCTCCGGTGCGAGCTCGAATATAACATCGACATGTCGCTCTTCCTCGAGAGTTATTTACCTCTACATATGTTTTCATACGAGTGGATTCGGTATGCAAAACTTTGCAACAACCTCACGAAGGAACTTTTCACATGATCGAGATTCATCCAACTTACTATCAGGATCACTACATCTATTTTGGACTCCACAACGAAAACAACCAGCTCAGAGAACAAAACACCACCACAAAAATCAGAGACCTCATTCTCACGTCCCATTCAATAGCACGCGTCATCTGCACTATCTACGGATGTGACCCCGGTCTCACGAGCTGATCAGCATACCACGCCGCTCTTTACTTCGGGCTCAAGAGGTATGCACGGGACTACCATCTCGCTTTCCAGTCGCTAAATACGCCTACCTGTAAGCTTTCACGAATAACCAACCAGGCGACGACGGAAACGTGATAGGACACTATCCTCATTCTACATGTATGCCACACTTTTCTCGTTTTCCTTTATTTTTTTTATCCTGAGTCAGCGTCAACGACCATTGCCCTGTTGGTACCGTGGACTTCAATCAATCTTGGAGAAAGCTGACCTGATCACCCACGATCTTGTCTATGCACTTAGTCGATGTTCTGGTTTTGAATGTATCCTGCATACGTATGATTTCAAACTTGGTCGTTCGAGTAGTTTCTGGTACCCTCGCTCGATCCCGTTTCGTCCTGCGTCTGAAGCTTTTTCTGGTCCAAACACCTACAAACGCAATCTTCAGACTCGGGATATGAGCCACGCTAGTATGGCACGCTAACTCGAGCAGCAAACCTGGAACGTTACTACTGGTGCAGTTCGGTGTCTATTGGAGCTTTATTGGTCTCTTCCTGTTAGTCAACCCTTCCGCACTACATTCGCACGTTTGCCGACCAGTCCACCTCCATACGAAGACCCTACGTATCGAAAGTGTGAACACTTTCTAGGGGGGGGTCTGTTTTAGTGGAACAGTTCTACTAAGGAAACGCAATTAATGAAGAGAAAACATCTATTATTGCACTCGTTTTGCTTAACCGCACTAATAACAATTACGGGCAACCTTCTTTTTTCGCGTTGCAGCCATCCTTCATAACATGCTGCTCACAGTATCGCACACTTTCTCCTCCAAATATATCCTTTGCACTGGATTTATCTGTATTTAAATATGGTATGATAGGAATAGGAATTTAGTGGTGATCATAGTCATTCTCGACTCGGTCACCACTAAAAGATCATTTCTTGCACAAGTTTATGTGGGTGTGTTGACGAAAATAGTCACTAGTAAGGTCACAAAAGGATAGATGAAATTAATCGAGGGAGTAGACTCAAAAAGATGGAAACGGTAAAGATTCTGTAGATTTACAAAATGTTGATAAGGAACAGAATGGTTTGGTTCAGAAGTGATATCCCGTTCACTTACATCGCCCAAATGAGTGTGAATGAATTTCCTGATACGATCGAAATTTGTACAGTTTGGAGGATGTTTATGCAGTACTGAACACCTAATACAAGCGTTGAAGGAACTCAACCATGTGATTTCGCAACAGTCGACCTCTCGTGCCGTAATAAGATATGAGAAACACTCTAAACCAAATCCACACAGATTTCTTATTGCTGGTGTTCACTCCTGTAATTAACGGCTTCAATGGACGGTGGATGATAGAGATTTGTCTCAGTTGAAACCCATCGTCTGAACATCTTCGATGGTCGCCATGTCAAGAGATGTTTACCTTCTGCCTGATGTTAGTATTTGCTAGGAATAAGAATATCTGAGAACAGCTGCAGCAGTTGGTCGCTATTATCTGTTCGATCAGCCGCGACAGCAAAAGATCTACCCATGTGTCTTTCTTATTCACTTAGTCTACCTACTTGAGCATTGAAGTCACCAGCCAATATTACTATATCATAACACCTAACCTTGTGGAGGAGTCCTGAAAGCCTTCCGTAAAACTCACCTTTTAACGCATTTGAGCTGCAATGAGTTGGCACGTGGGCAGCACGTCCTGATAGGCTTACCCCTGAGATGTTTAAGGATGGTGGTCCAGTTTTAACATTATGACTGACCGAGATCTTAGGTAGAATATGGGAACTGAACGTAATCCAATCTGAATAGTCTCAGTCGCTTATTGTCCCAATCTATAAGAAAGGACAAAAGTCCTCTTGTGACAATCACAGGCGAATCAGTCTAACTAATATAGTTTCCGAATTGTTCGCCTCCATTATACTTAGACGTCTAACTAGAGCTCGTGAAGAGCAGACTACAGAAAACCAGTCTGGTCGAGCGTGTTGAACACTTCACTAATCTGGGGAGTCTCATCAACGCTGATGGCCTGGTGACTGACGAAATCTTAACACGGAAACGAGTACTAAGTAAGGAGAGCAGATCAATAGATGAAGTAGTGAAACTTCATCAGTTGACGTGTTTGAAACATGTGTTACGAATACCTATCCACCGACTGCCTTGACGAGCTATGTTTTGTGGTGTAGGAGCAGATTGGAAGAAAGCTAGGGGCGGCCAAAACAAAATATGGCAGAAATCCCTGACTAGTGGACTGAGTTATGTTGGTAGATGTAGACTACCTAGTTGGGGTCCGCGAGACGATTGTCACCAATGGTTAGAGACCCTGAATGACATGGCACAAATCCGTTTGCAATGGCGCAAGTGCATCCACTTTTTGAGCTCTCTCAAATCCTAACATTCTGAATTCCTTATCACCTCAATCTTTCTCTTCCTAACCTTATCTCACTGAATTATATTTCTTGAATAATATCTTAGAACCCTATTCTTCTTCATTACTATTATTACCTCTACTATCTTTATCACTATGGGACTTGATTTGACAATTGCGTCTCTGTGCCAATGTGGTATGGCAACATGAACTTATGTACATACGTACGAAATTCTACGTTGCGACTGACTGAAACAACTAATGTTTCTATCTTTGCTAGTTCTTACTGTTCCGATTAGTGGGATAGTGCACAAGTGACTATCTACTGTAGTCCAGTCTAAGAGACCTAGTTCTGCCCTAAAACTTGATGCTATATCTACACCGGTGAGGCCACGGGACTCAGCAGCAGGACTTCCAGACACACGAATCGTGAATTGCGATGGTTCTTTATTTTGACGTGATGAGGTCGTTGTGGTGTTTCGTTCTCTGAGCTGGTCAAATGAATGATTCTACTTGGGTCCTGTATGCGTGTTTCGGAGACGTTGCCCACATCGATAGCGTGAGATTGTAGAGTTCTAGCTGAGGAGGAGCGGAGTTCAAGGGACATCTGCTTGAGGCTAGTCACGCGCGGCTTTTTCATGAGAAGTTTTGGAAGTGTTAGCTCTGTTCTTCAGGAGGCCTTACCGCCGCAGACGGGAATCCGAGGGGTAAGGTGAGGTGTGACATTTTGATGGTCGACCTTTTCTAACCCCTTCCTTGCTTGTGAGAAGGCAGCATCGCTACAGTTGTCGGTTGTCCGAGAGAACCCCCTACTGCTGTGACTCCTCTGCATAGTCAATAGTACGACTTCGCCTTCAGAGCCTGAGTTGCAGCTCTCAGTCTCACCGTTTTCAAATCGACCTGCCTGACATGGTAGAACCTTTAGGAACATATGTTCCAGCCAATATAGCTTGGTTGGATCATCACGACAGAAAATCTCTGCCACCACTGCTAGATAGCAGCTACGGTCGAGGATACCCTAGTAAGGCTGATGATATGATTAATACTCCGGCTGCTTATAAAACGTGTCGGCCTTTTTGTGAGCCTGATCCCTAATAAAAGGTTAGATATTGATCGTCTGGTGCTGAAATCAGGTTGGTGGATACCAAGGGTCCACTTAGCAAATTTTAATAAATAGGATAAATGATTGTAGAGGTTGAATGACATATGAACATGGGCATATAGTAAATTCGCAGTCAAAACAGATTGGATGACGACGTATTTGCCTGAGATATTTTATCATCAATAGATAACACCGTAACTACTAAAACTAATAAAAATACATACGGAGAGAGTAGGTTGGCTATATACTTGGAAACGATTAATAAAAAAGAGAATCTATTCAAACAAACTTTCTCAACATAATAATTCAAGAATGTACAGGTAAATGATAGTTGAAAGTAATAATCGATGTGATAACAGAATGAGTGTGACAGATTGAATATTACAACTGTATACGATATGGTAAATGAGTTACGGCTTCAGGATTATCTGGAATAGTCAATCTACGAACTCAACTGCTACAACCGAAGTCCAGCAATGGGCAAGGATCTGGAAAGAAGCCAAAATGAAAAATGTTACAATCTTCAAAAACCAAACGCAACTTCAAAGCACCAACTACATTAAAAGAGTGATGGGGACTAAAATCCTATTACTAATCGAGAAACGGATATTTACTGACAGAATAATATTTAAATCACTGTGAAACGAATCCAGTGTCTACATTCAGATACTACATTCATTATAGCTATCATCACCGTTATTGATTTAGCAGGATAGGACGATGGTTGGAAAGTATATGGTCTACTAAGCATCGACTTTTACATGAGAGATATGGTGAAAAATTTTGTAAGAGTTTACAATGGGTAAAATTGAAAATTATTGTCAAATGTATGGTGCAAGTCATCCTACAAGTAAAGATTTAAGTGCGAACGTTAAGAACATAATATCTGTTAGGAGACTAGCAGTACTATCAAGTCATCCAAGCCGATGTTATTTTATTGGCTGCAAAACATAACCTTCAATCAGTTAAATGCACACTCTAAATTTGTATGACTTAATCCAATTCAACTGGGTGGGCAATCTTCCTTATCTTCACGAATAATGATACGAAACTGAGTAGGAAAAATTGAACATAGTAGTTGAGTAACTATTAATGTGTCTGAAACGCACAATATCTAGTTAACTACTGAAACACATAACTATCCTCACACAGTCTGGAGGTGCCGAAGGAATATAAGGAAATAAACGCTAACTAACCATTTAGAAAGGTGGTTTAATTATTCAGTTACTATAAGATTTTTGAGACCAGAACAAAGCTCAAAACTGGGATTCATGAATGGACCAATGTTACACCCCCATTGGGAACCTGGAAGTGCTGAGGGAGCGTTCCATCCTAATACGGGACCCATCAGCTGTGCGCATCCACGACTATCATTCGTGAAAACGAAATCTAGGACCTTCAGTCTGGTGCACGAACGCCTAACTTCTAGACCGCTGGGCCGGCATCCAATGGTGTGAATGTTTAACTTCAATCAAACCATGGTATTGCGCAACCTCATATACTGTCTTCGATGAACACTGCTTCATACTCAAACAGGGTTGAACTGCACGACCGAAAGTCCTTGGTTTGAAGATGAGTCCCATGCAGTGATGAAATGACCGTTTAATGCTTCCAGGTTTCTTGCGATGGTCTAACATTAACCGATCCATGATTTTTAAAATGTAAGTGTATACATTATTTCATGTAGTTGTTGGAATGTTATTGAATAAAGTGACATATATTATCAGTTTTGTATTTCGAACAATAAACCATCGCTTAAAAACGAAATATCGAAAAAATTTATTTAAATTTGCTTAGCTGCTAGTAAGTAATATGAAGTTACTTTCTGTTTTCAAAGTAACCACGGACAGCTATTTATTATGAATCAAATAGTTCATAAATTGCTAAAATCTTGAGATGAATGAACGACAGTATTTTTTGGATATCATTATTACTAATGATGTAAAGGTATATGTAACTAGATGAGTGTTATCTAAATAATAAACTGCTTTTTCACACATAAATGTCTAGAGTAGCTTGCAAAGGATCAGAAGAGATTTAAATGGAATGTTTTAAATTCCATGAAAAGTGTGAATTGGCTTCAGTAGAAATTATCGCGTCGGTTCCTGAATGCGTTATTCTTAACAGACAGGTCCGTGAAATCAGGACGCGAACACAGAGCTAATTTGGAAATGTTCCTATCTGTTCAAAGTACTAACTAAATTATTGCAAATACAAACACCGTACGGAGCAATCCTGTGCAATGTTTCTGATTCCTGAAAACGATAGACAAAAATAATATAAACAGAAGACTGAGTGAGTTAGTGTTCCTTAAGAAAAAACTGAACAACTCAATATTCATTAACTAAATTATTTACTGAGCAAAATAAGTCTTAACTCGTCTTTGACTTGAGAAATTTTTTCTCTGATTTTCCGAACTTATTCATAATAGTTTTCAAACTAATTATAAAAAGAATCACCCCGGTGGGACAAAAACAGAAATATTTGTAAAAAAAAACCTGATAAGTTTATCATACATTCATTCAGAGAGATAAACACGCAAATATAGAGTGCGGGCGAATATTAAAAATAGGAGACAACAGACTGCTTTGATATGCAAAAAATAAAGAAACACTGCAAAGCAAACCTACCATCCGAACGAATATTTACATGAAGACGAAATAAAGGATAATTGATTAGTTCAGAAACAGTTGGTCTATCTTGAGCAAGGGGTCGTAAAAGACTCTATAAAATAAGTACAGTAAAATAAAAGATTAATTTAAAATTCACGAGAAAGTTTGGAAAAGTTTGTACCAGTGCTCGATGTTAAGCATATAGATATAACGAATAAAACGATCTATAATGATCAGAGCAAGTTACTCTTTGTGGTCACGACTTTTTTAAACAGAAAACCAGATGTTCAAACTTTCAGCTTATTGTTTGATGAATCACTACCAAACGTAAACGTGATGACACAGTTGCTGTAATCATGTGAATATACTTATGGGTAGTATTCATCAAATAAGAATCCAAATATTTTTACGATACGTTTCTGTCAGTAATCACCCAAGTCGTCTTAAACGCCTGACAGTTCAAACTTCTGTTTCCATAAAAACAGAGACCACGCTGCTCTGTGCCACTTGATCAGGCAATACAAATCCCTTCAACGGCATAGATGACTAAAGAAAATTTTATCGACAGGATTAGACAACCATACCTACACTCCTTTCAACGGTTGACGTGAATTTATAGTCACAAGTTTGGTCAGATTGTTCGAAAAGTTTTGAAAATTTGACTTCTTTATCATCCCCGAACGAAGCGATCATAGTATGACGCTTTCCTTCGTTTTACATGAAAATATCGTCACCTCATTTACGTCAGGAATTTTCAGTGCCAAAACAAATAAGTACACAACCATCCTAATCTCAAAGAACCTAACTCGAACATTCATTAGGTACTCAAAGCTTTTACACAACGCTGTTTAAAACTTAAAGTTTTTGAAATCATTCTTTTCAAAAGCCGTTGACTTTTTATAAGCTTAAGTCAAATGATCACCGTAAGCAGTTAAATATATGGAAAGTTCAACAGTAAAACTATCTTTACATAAGAAATTATGTTTGATATCTAGTGTTTATAGGAAAGGATAGAGGAACATGGTTTATTGAAATATGAAAACCCAATGAACATTATAGACTTCTGAGACAATCACGCTGAATTAGATACAGGGATATTGGCAAGCAAAACGGCAACTAATACAATATGTAAATTGACAGTAGTCAAGGTAGTCTTAAAGCTTCTGAGATAAAACACTCAAAGACCCATTACTGGTAAGCGTACCAAATTTTGTTTATTAAGAAAGCCCTTATATGCCCTTATATAGATTAGGAAAGCATAAAACCCGTGTTAAACTTTCAACAATACGACGTCGAGTGGTTTTTCGGTGACATCATACAAACAAAATATTGCGAATTCCGAAGTGAATTTTTCCAAGAAACACAGAATTACTGAAAAAGATCAGATATTCAACCTTCGTCAGGTCTTAGAACACAGACACACATCAAGATGTTCGACATTAGTTGTCTTCCTGTACCTTATAGAGGCATTTGACTCTGTCGATCGTGAGTCTGTCATTAGAAGGTGTACCAAATAAGTACATTAACCTTATACATGCTCTCTACTTGAACACTACTGGCCGAGTGAGAGATGATAGCGAACTGTCATCGGGAATGATTATCCCGAGTGATGTTCGTCAGGGATGTCCACTCTCTTTATACTTATTTAACTTTGTCACTGAAATGCCTTAAGAGATGATACTTTCACCGTCTGATTCTTTGGGGGGGGGGGTGGACTTTTACCAGGAGATTCATTTGTTGACTTAGAATATGCAGATGATATGGTTCTACTTGATGAAGACACTGACAAAATACAGTCTTCTGACCACCCTAAACAACGATGCAAACATGTTCAAGATGAGATTCTCCACTATGAAATTCAAAATGTTGTTTCAAGATTGGCTGGCGTCGGCAGCTGAACTAGTGGTAGCGAGTGAAGTGGTTGAGTGTGCTTTCATCATACGTAGACTGATCTAGTCTGTCACATAATTAGGCTAATGCACTTTCGAAAGCTTGTAATGGCTAATCACAAACAGTGCAGACATAGACTCCTAGCCTCGCATAAATACTTTCTATTTAGCTGTGAAGTATACGGTAAACGCAGGGTCCCTAATTAACGACTAAATCCGTGTGATTTAGATTATCTATGTATTAAAACAGCAAGACAACCTCATCCACACAATCAGAGTCGTAAGGTATTGCAATATGTAACAGGTTTACACTACCACTACCCCCTACGCAATTTTGAGGAAGAAAGTGAACAGTAATGGTGAACATATGAAATCCTATTTAAAACCACTGTAGTACTGGAACAATCGATTGAAGTGATTAGGCAAAATAAATCTATCTTACGTGAGTTACTAAGTACATATTGTAGGTGTAAACTTGAAAAGCACCTGATACTTTGATAATCTACAATGTATGTGAAGAAGAAAAAAGCATCACTGTTGAGTGAGTTGCTAAGAAGTCTACTTTATTCGTCACCTCTCATTTGAGGATCGGTTCCATGTGACTGTTATTTCAATCTGTTTATTTGGTCCAACTGTTTTGAATAAAATGATGATGAAATTATAAATCCAATGGGCTAACTCAAAGTCACAAAATCTAAAGCCTAAACAATTCAGAAATCTAAAGGAATAGATGAGCTTACTAGAATTGCAATCGAACAACAGAGTATTCCACGATGTCGGACTAGTCAGCCGAGAACAAAACACTTAGGTTAATTTTCTGAAGATAGGTCTGTAGGATGTAACACGATAGTTACAGATAACTTGTTTATGAACATCTAAGACAAAAATAAAGGGTTACAACACAAAATCTATGGAATGCTTGAGTCACTCTCCTAATAATAGCATTAACGATTACGAATTTTGCTTACTTTGACTGCTGGTCTCAAGGAACCAGGGAGGACGGAAAGATCTGGTAAGCAATCTGTTTCACGAAGTCGTTCCCAGACTGAGGCTGACATAGGTCCGCCCGCCTACGAAAGGAAATAGTGTACAGAAACTAGGTCACGTGGAAAATTTATAGTTACAGATAAATATAATTAGACCGCTCTTAACAGTAAAAAGGTGCAATCACGGGTATATGTAGATTTACAGAGAGCCTACAATCAACATTGCACTTATAGACAGAGATCGAATAAACCTACGCTGTTCGAGACAGTTGGTAAAGACTGTACGGACGACATTTTCATCGTAACTATTCGTCATATCTATGCATGAAACTCACAGAACGGTGATACCAGAGCACGTGATTTCCTAGGGGGACCACCGATAAAAGTATAATCTATGAGAAAGTGGAAAATGTCAGTTGTAATCTCATGGTAGCCTGCAACAAAATATATTTCCACACCATTTATTACATCAGAATCCCGAAGCTTAAATAAGTTATTAATTAGAAATCAGGGTTAATGAGCTACTTTAGGTGGATAATCATTTAAGAGATGGATGCTTTCTTCTCTCACTTTTGTAAAAACACTCATCACGCGAAGACAAAAAGTAGAATTACCTAGGCAGAAGCTATGAGTGCATGACCAGATGAGCATTTTAGCCATATCACGAGATTAGCGGACTTTTGAAATACATTTCCGAACGTAAACAATATCGCTACTCAAAATCATGAGATTTTAATTAAAAATGAACGGAGCTATCAATGTCCTTATCCAGTATAACTAGAGCTAATAGTAATTTACGACACTGTCTTAATGGTTAACGTAACAGGATATATTCTTGAACGAAAGATTGCGTTCCACAGCTTTTACGCTAAAGGATATGACCATAGTCAAGCGATCACTTTTACTTTCCGAAAGATTTAAACTCAGGACAACTAAAATATAAACTAAAAGTCTTAATATCCTAATAGCCTTATGATGTGACACAAGAGCACTATGACAGGTGCTATTACCTCTCAATAATCATTAATACTGATGACAGTGAGTCATTTTATCCTATTTTCTGAGGATGTAAACAAGGTTACAGAGGTCAGAGTATTATAACGTTAAAATTTTTTAAGTAGAAATTTTTTAAGTCAGGACGTGAGTGGGAAAAAGATAAACAACCTAGATAGTACCAAATACTCATTACTGACTACAGAGAAGTAAGTAAACATGGGATCTAAAATAAGTCAAAAAACTTCGTGAATAAATCCGTGATAGTCACATAACCATACATAATCTGGACATGTTTTCGATCTGAGAGTAGTAAAACAAGGACATCTGGTGTCGTGAATTACGAAAAAAGGATATTTAAAATAGGAAGATGAAGTGAAGTCCTGCAACCCGTAAGGAGGTTGAGAAGGCTTCAGACAATTTAAAGCGAGGGAGAGCAGCAGATCCCAATGGATCAATCGCCGAAAAATTTAAGGATGGTGGTCCAGTTTTAGCAGTTAGACTGACCTAGGGCTTAGCTGGAATCTGTGAACTGGACGTCATCCCATTTGAATGGTTTCAATCGCTGATTCTCCCAATTTATAAGAAAGGACAAAAGTCCTTTTGTGACAATCACAGGAAAGTCAGTCAAACTAATATAGTTTTTAAATTGTTAGCCTCGATTATACTTAGACGCCTTACTAGTGCTCGTGAAGAGCAGACTCGAGAAAACCAGGCTAGTTTCAGACCTGGACGTGGATGTATAGACCACATCTTCACACTACGACAGGTCCTAGAACACAGACACACATTTAGGAGTCCTACAGTAGTTATCTTCCTGTCGTGAGGTTCTATGGCAGAGTCTGTCATTGGAAGGTGTACCAAAGAAGTACATTAACCTTATACAAGCTCTCTACTTAAACTCAAGTGGTGTCCGACAGAGATGTCCACTCTCTCCATTCTTGTTTATTCTCGTCATAGACATGCTTCTAGATATAACATTATCTTCGTCCGACTTTTCAGGAGTCGACTTTCTACCAGGAAAATCGCTTACTGATCTAGAATATGCCGATGACATAGTTCTCTTCAATGAAGACGCTGACAAAATGCAGTCTTATGACTACTCTAAGCAACAATGCAAGCATGTTCGGGATGCGACTCTCCTCATCGAAATGCAAAATGTTGCTTCAAGACTGGGTTGCATCGACAGCTGAACTAGTGATAGGGAGTGAAGTAGTCGAACATGTAGACAGCTTCGCGCATCTGGGGAATCTCTTCAGTGCTGATGGCCTGGTGACTGACGAAATCTCTGAACGGATACAGAAGGTTCGATTGGCTTTTGCTAACCTTGTCACCTATGGCGGAGGCGAGATATCGGTTTGCTGACTAAAGGACGAGTGTACTGTGTAGTAGTTTGCTTCGTCCTACTATATGGCTGTGAAAAATGGCCAGTCAGAGTAAAAGATATTCGTAGGTTACAGGTTTTCGATCATAGGTGTCTTCAAAGTATTGCTCGTGTATTCTGGGACAACCGAGTGAGCAATGCTGGTATTAGGAAACGGGTGCTAGGTAAGGATGGCAAGTCAATTGATTAAGTATTGAAGCTTCAGCAGTTGAGGTGGTTGGAACACGTGCTACGAATGCCAAACCGCTGCCTGCCTCGAAGAGCTATATTTTGCGGCGTAGGAATAGGTTTGAAGAAAGCTAGGGGCGGCCAGACCAAAACATAGCAGAAATCCATGAAGTCATTGACAAGTGGACTGAGTCATGTTGGTAGGTGTCGACTACCTGGTTGGGGCTCGCGAGATGATAGTAATCAATGGTTATAGACCCTGAATGACATGGTTCAAAATCGTTTGCAATCGCGCAGGTGCATCCACCCTTCGTGTTCTCTCAAATCCTAACATTCTGATCCTCATCATCTCTATCTTTCTCTTCCTAAAGTTATCTAACTGAACTATATTTCTTGGATAATATCTTCGATCCCTAATATTCTCCATTACTGCCAATTCTTTTACTATTGCCGCTACTATAGGATAAGAACTGACATATGCGTCTATGTGCGAATGCGGTATGGCAACCTGAACTTATGTACTCATGCACCAAGTTCCAAGTTGTAACTGACTGACTGAATTCTGATGATAATTCGTCGTAGCCTGTGACTTGTGGTGTTCCAGTATAATCTTTTTAAGGTTCGTGAAATCGTCTCATTGATAAACGTTGTCACAAGACCTATCATTCAACGGAATCGAAGGTTGGGAATCAAAACTATAATTAAGTGTTCGTAAGTACACCTAGTAGCACAGAGAATATTTGGTTATTACATTTATAATAACATCTAGAAACAACCTAGTTTCCTCAGGTTTACTCTTCATCGGCACTAATTAAGCAAGTATTATGGACAATACATTAGTCAAGCCCAAAAAAGTTACTTAACGTTTGTTCCTGATTGATAAGACTAAAAATTACAAATCAGTAAGAACTATGGGAAAAAACATTCACAGTAGCTGACTCACCGAATGATAAAGAGTTATGCCCAGCGCATAGAGATCCCGTCCGGTGGCAGCCCTTGCAGGTGGACTAGGGTCGTTTAGTCTTGGGAGATAGCGCCCATCACCTAAGTCTTCACCATCACGATCTTCCCCAGCACGTGATGCACGGCCGAAATCAGATAACTTAAAGACGATCCCCGCAGTATCTCCGGCAAGTAGAAGCTAACAAATATGGAACCAGATACAAAAATAGTCCAAGCTGAATTTTTAAAATGTGTCATTATAAAATCTCGTGAAGTAAGTGTTTGACTACCATATGCCGTTTAACTTAACATTGACCGTATATGCAGGCTAACCTAGATGCCCGAGCTCGACTGAATTTGTGTATAATCCATCAGCTGGATTTATTGCACGTCTAGGGTAGGTATTTAATGAGGTTTACCTTACTATATCACTGCTTAAAATCATTATTTTATTCTCTCTCTTTCTCTCTCTCTCTCTCTCATATATATATATATATATATATATATATATATATATAATGAAACCGATGATACAGGTTTGTCTTAACACTAATCGTAATCCACCAACACGGAGACTTTCTTGCAAACTTCGAATGTGCAGATGACATATTTCTGCTTCAAGTCACTGGAAAGAATTCGGTCTTTTGATTTCCCTAATCCATAATCCAAGAATTTTTGGGATGCGTTTCTTTTCCTTTAGGACTTGTCTGTGTCAACGTCTGAACTAACGATACGGAGTGAAGTACTTGAGCTCGTTGATCACTTATCCATAAAGATTCATCAGCCCCTATGGGTTGATATTTGACAAAATTTCTGCACAAATTTAAGAAGCTCTGTTGGTCTTTGCCGATTCACATCATTCGTGGGGCAGGCAAGAAATCCATCTACCATCTGAAGGATGAGTGTAGTACGTACAAGTTTGCTTCACTCTATTTTATCGTTGTGAAACGGCCATGAAAAATGGAGGATATTATATCCATCTACCATTAGTATAAAAGCACTACGCGTATAACTTGGTACCATCCAGTTTGCGATTCTGAGATTACTAGGTCGATTGACGAGGTAGTAAATATTCATCGATTGTGTTTGGATATGTATTACATATTCCAATCCACTGACCACCGATGCACGTAATAGCTAGTGTGGTAATAGGTTGGAAGAAGGATAAGAGAGACCTGGGATATCATCCCCTTGTGCTGATTGGATGTGGACACTTGAATGTGCCGGGCTCTACATTGTATATGAGTGACTGACAGTGACAGGGTTCAGAAAGTTCCTGGTTTGGATGTATTTACTCTTTACCTTGCACTTTATTCGAAGTTTCACTATTCTTTCCTATAGTACCTTTCTTAAGAACCAAATCCTCAATATTTAGCCTTTACTACTGTTAGTGCTATTGCACTTATCCCAACTTCTTTGTCATATCTTGTTAATTACACTTCATCTTGCTTTGGTACGGCAACTAGGGTTGATGTACAATTGAACCTAACTTTACATAGATTATGGATGACTGGAATATTGTTCAACCTTAAACTGGCTTACGCGGTAAATATTATGAATATCCAAGAAACGTATATAGTTGAGAATAATAAAGTATCAAGGGCGATAGATGTAGTTGAGTTGACATACATCTAAGATATTTCTAAGTTGAAAATAATTGTACGGAAACTAGTCAAACAGAAACAACCATAATACTGATATACAGCTTTGATCACTGGAGTAAACGTTTGGACAGAGAATAACATATACACGGTTACTGGTAGATATCAGTATACAAATAGACACCAATACAAAGACCTTTGAGATGAAGTCTGAATTCCATCGTCAATATTGAGAAATCTAAGAAATATGACTCCGAGATGTAAAATAAACAAGCAAAAACTATCAAGTTTGTGTATTAATATACCATTAACGTTGTCAGACAACTCTAAAATGTACGGTAATAAAGACTGAATCGTGTAATTTAAACCATAAATATTAAAAACTTCTTGAAACATTTAAAAGACGACGAAACCTCGGGTTACATAATTCCAAAAACAATCAAAAGTTGAAAACCTTCCTAAATACAGAATAATTTTCCACATTAGTACAGTGCTACTGCTTTGTATATACGGATTCTAGTACTTAAATATATGATTTAAATAATTTTCACCACCTAAAAACAGCAGCAATAATATCTTCGGGATACCCAAGAAACAGTTCAAAATTACATCAAGGAATTTAGGAACTGTATAACTGAAAAACTAACCTTATGACAATGACGTTTAGCATCCATTTCTATACAGTCTTTAGCAGACGCTAAATAAGCTTCAGGTCTGCTTAGTTGTATTAGGATATTACTTGGTTTGACATCACCATGGACCATCGACCAATTGGTGTGCATATAATGAAGGGCGCTAAGAACGTGCGACGCCAAGACAATCAACGGCTTTTCTGAGAGACGGTTACGGTGTGCATCGCTTGGAGAACCAGATGTAGGAGAACTAGGTATATCGCTGTCAATGTGGTTCGTTAAGACAATAGACGCAGCTTCAGAAGTGTCATTCTGTCTATCTGGATGTAATAGATGAAACAAACTGCCACCCAAACACAATTCTAACTGTGTATACACAGAGTCAGCTTCGTACCATGAGCCGAAAAACCGAATAATATTGGAGTGTTGGAGCAGTGCCAAGGCTTGAACCTCATTCAGCATCTCAGCGGATGAACTAGAATAATGGGAATTATTGAAATGAAGTGTTCTTTAATACATGCAATCGTAAATTTTGAAAGATGTATGATAATTATTTTAGCAATAACTTGGAGAAATCTTACTTATGCCTGTAACCCGCAATGAAACATAGACCGCCGACCGGTATTCTTTAACCTACTACATCTTGGACCTACCTTTCCAGTTCTGTCCAATTTTCGTTCATTATTCTCATGTCTGTCTCCATTTCTCGGCGAAATGTGTTGCTTGACCTTTCTTTTCCTTTGAACTTGAGGGTTCCAAGTGAGTGCTTGTCTTGTGACGCAGTTAGGTGCTTTCTGCAACATGCGTACCATCCACCATCAGCGCTTCTTTCTGATTTCTTCTTTTAATGAAGTCTGGTTTGTTCTCTCCCATAGTATGTTGTTACTGATGGTGTCTAGCCAACGGATCTGAAGTATTTTGAGTAAACAACTGTCAACAATCACTTGTACCTTGTGGATGATGGCTTTTTTAGTTCTCTAGGTTTCCACCCCATACTGTAAAACTGTCTTGATATTTGTATCGAAAATTCTGACTTTGGTGTTGGTTGATAGTTGTTTTGAGTTCTAGATGTTCTTCAATTGTAGAAATGCAGCTCTTGCTTTGCCAATCACCGCCTTTACATCTGCATAGGATCCACTCTGATTGTCGATGATACTGCACAGATATGTAGAGGTTTTAACGTCCTCCAAGGCATCTCTATCAAGTGTGATTTGGTTGGTGCATGTTGTGTTGTATTGCAGAATCTTGCTTTTCCTTTTGTGTATATTGAGACCTGCTTCTGCTACACTGGTCGTCTTCTCTAGCATATGTTGTTGCGTGTGACAGAAGAGCTAGATCATCCGCAAAGCCGAGATCGTCCAGCCGATTCCTGGCTGTCCACTATATACATTGCTTTCCTTCTGATGTTGACGTCTTCATAATCCAGTCGATCACCAGGAAACAGCCTTACCTCGTACTGGTCTTTACTTCGAACGGGTCTGTCAGCTGTCCGATTTTGTAGTTTAATCCATCGTGAGAATTCCGTTTGATGTTAACTATTTTCTCAGGCACGCCATAGTGTCGGAAAAGCCCCTATAATGTCATCCTGTCCATGCTATCAAATACTTTCTCGTAGTCAATGAAGTTGATGTATAGTGGTGAGTTCCATTCAGTTGGTCGTTCCACAATGATCCGCAATGTTGCAATTTGGTCGGTACACGATCGATCCTTACAAAATCCAGCCTGCGGATCTCCAAGTTAGGCGTCTACAGAGTACATTCTGTTTAACAACACACTGTTGAAGACTTCCTGGTACTGAGAGGAGAGTGATGCCTCTGTAGTTCTCACACTTACTGAGATCGCCTTTCTTTGGTATTTTGATCGGGTATCCTTTCCAGTTTGTTTGTACTTGTTCTTCCTCCCATATCTTGTTGAAGAAAAATATTTTTGTAGTTGCTACCACGTCTGCTTCCATTGCCTCTACAAGAATGTTGTCTGGTCCTTAATTGCGTAGGACCTGGAACGGATGTGAAAATGAGAGCAAGCGGTTTATTTACCCATTCGAATGGCGTTACCCACAGACATAAACCCTTATGTTGAAAACTAGATGGGAATTCACAAATTTTTCTGAGTCCATCTAGAACTACTTACGATAATATTACAGTAAGTTCCAAATTCATACCATTAAACTTAGATTTCAAGATAAAAAGCCTCAAACCAAACAGCCTTATTAAAATTAAACGGTATATTTTGTTTCTTCTAACTACTTTATCCATGAGATTTTATCTCAACTACTGCATTTAGAACACAAAATAACCTGCTTCTCAACGTATTACCTACTGCTCCGTAGTAAAGGACCCTCATAAATAATGTACGAAGCAGTGACCGTATAGGTTAGAATGTCGTGATACCAATACGTTGAGGTGATGATACAGATTATAACTCAGGAACTGCGTCGACACTTTCGTACTATGATGTTTAGCTCAGTCAAGGGACACTATAATAATCTGAAACTGTGAGGTTTAAGACTATCCTTTGAAAATGAGAGAGCAAGACTAAAAAAGCTATACATTTGGCTATGATGATTGGTTATTTCTACAATATTGAGCTTTTGTCTTCGACTTGAGACCAAGACTTTGATTATCAATACTGCGCTATCTCCGTGCTGTTATAATTCACTTGTATGTAAAAGGTGAACAGCTGTGACAATGATCAGACTATTAGCTTCCAAAAATGCGTAAGAAGAGATAGACCAATAATTCCATTAATAACTTAAGTTTTAGAAAACCTTTAAATAATTTCCTAAGAAAAAATATATTTAACTTGTGGTGGCATAACTTCTGAAACAAATCATGTTAAATAGTTAGACTGGTCAGTGCTTACAATATGATAATAAATACCACGTAAACTCATATTACCTTACCTTCCGTTAAGATGTTCGAGTTCGAAATCGCAGCGTGACCTCTTCAAACAATACAAAACGCCACTTAGACGATGTCTAGCCTTATAGAGCACAGCCAATCTAGTTCGGCAGATGTCAACAAGGTTTGAAAATGATCCTGCAAGACTTCATTTATCCATTAAAGAAAAAATAAGTGATTTACTTGCTACAATTGAAGATCGGATTCATTCCAATGGGTCTTTCTTCTTGATACTTTTCCCCTGGTGTATACTGGCTCATAAATCTGTTGACAGTGCGACGGTTTAGTAGGTCAGGACACACATCTGCGAGGCGAGCATATCTTTCCACAGTTGAAGTTGTTTGTTGACTTATGGTCATAAAGGAATGCATATTTAGGTCGTCAACTACCGATAACCTCTTTCGCTGTCCTGAAATTGAGTCAGCTGTGTCCGAGGAATTACAGGTTTCAGGAGTGAAAAGAAGGCGTGGGCTCATTGATAAGTTTGCAGACTGCGCTATTCGTGCTGATATATGCAGTGCACGCTGTTCCATGTAACGGGCATAGGAAAGACTATGCTGAAGATGATCACTTAGGTAGCCCTTCCCGATCGATCGATCAGATAAGTCTGGATTGAAAACATGACCATCCGGGGACGGAGTATCGTGGCCAAAGCTGTGAGACATGCTGCTAAAATTTCCTTTAGTAGGCTGTGAATCAATTTCTAAGGGGGAATATCTTACAGACGAAATCCGACTTTTTGAGAACAAGGGGGAAACTTGCAACCCAAAGTGCTCAGCAGAATTATCCGTGTCTGAATCTCTGTTGCATAGGGAAAATAATGGTGAATGATCCAACCCATGTCTTGATAGTGTTGGTGTTGACGAAGATGGGGACTGAGCAACTGCACGTTTGCTCCGCTTCATCATGCCACTAGATCGCTTCTGGCGCTCAATAGTTAATAATTTGGAGTTCAGTCTTGAGATGTGTTGTGTTGGTTTGAGGGTTCAAATGAGTTACAACTGGAGAACGTAAACCGAAGAATCAATGAGCACACGACGAATTAAAATAAATGGTGAGGGCAGAAGACAGAAACTAGATATTCACAACTTTGAACTCAAGGCGTTCTGATTATGAAAGTTACAACTGACAACTATTGAGGATTACTCTAGGCGTTACAGCAACAGATTCGAAAATAGCGGCAAGGTGTCACATTCGTAATTTTTAAAGTAATTTAAGAATGACAATTCAATATCCAATACCTTCGTGAGCAGGCGAAAAAACTTCATTTCACCATTTTAGAATGATTTAAGATTTCTGTAGCATTTTATTCAGCTTAAATAAATTGAGAAGTTGTGACAGTAATCAATAATTCCACTGGTATTTGTAGAGACACTTATTTTAAAGGTGGCTAAGTATATTTTTTCTGAAAACATCACGATCAGTGAAGCTAGGAGAGTCAGCAAAAAAATAAAGAAAATTAGAGTGGTAATAGCTGGATGCTAAGTTTCAACGGAAAATCGTTGAAATCACCACGGAACTCGTGGTGATAATCGTAATAAGCAAAATGTATAGGGTCACAAAAACTCTGACTGTATACCCTTCGGGGCTACTGCCGGTACCAGGCGGGGATAAAGGAGTAGGGTTTGGGCATGGAGTTAGCGCCCTCATCCCAACTATAAACTAACTTGCCAAAAAAACGCTAACCAGAAGAAATAATTCAAACCATTTTAACTCTGCCCTGGGAGTTGGAAGAAGAATTATTACGTCTCGTTATGAAAGCTGAGTTCCCTCGGGAGTCACGGGGCCCATGCCTCTTCTGACAACCAGAGCAACCATTCTTTTAGGTTCATGGAACGTTCGTACACTGTGGGATACTGGAAGACTATTTCAAGTTGCGGCAGAAATGAGAAGATACAACCTGGAGGTGCTCAGCATCAGTGAAACGCATTGGACATAGATAGCACAACTGAGACTAGCTTCAGGGGAACTTCTGTTATATTCTAGCCATGAAGAGGAAAATGCTACACAAACACATGGAGTTGCGTCGATGCTATCCAGACAAGCACAAAAACGTTGATAGTATAGGAATCTCATGGACCTAGGATCATTAAGGCATCCTTGGAAACAAAGAAAGATGACATTAGTATGGAATCTATTTTAAAGGCTTTGTTTTGGGAAAATCACTCCATGTATGCATATTTGTGTTATGATCTGACTGACTCTTTTTGTTCGGTATTTTGGTACTTTATTTGATCCCATTTTGGAATTTTATCATTGTATCTTGTTATTATTTCTATATCTTGTACTCATATTGAAGTTTCTATGTTTATTTCTGAACTATATATGTGTTGTTTGAAATTGATACTTAATAGGGCTACAGCCATTTTCGGATTTGATACCCTAGCAGCAGCTCGTTGCCAATAACTGGAAGCACTTATTCTCCCAGTATCGGAACTTATTATTGTGATTAGAAACTCGAAGGTGTAATATTGTTTTGGTAATTGTCTGTATTTCCCTTTTTGATTAAAAATAGAACGTTCTTTCCCAGATCCATCATTTTTAGACTTGGACTGGGCGAGACGCGTGTGAACCTACACCTTTCGGATTCAGATCCCAATGTGAGAGTAATAAACATTTCTATAGTGGATAGGACACACATTCCGAAAAGCACCTAACTGCGTCACAAGGCAAGCCCTCACATGGAACCCTCAGGGCAAAAGGAAAAGAGGAAGGCCAAGGATCACGTTACGCCGAGAAATAGAGAAAGATATGAGAGGGATGAGCAAAAATTGGACAGACCTGGAAAGGGAAGCCCAGGACAGAGTTGGTTGGAGGAAAATGCTGGGCGACCTACGCTCGATTGTGGGCAACAGGCGTAAATAAGCAAGTGATAGGGTAACAAAAAAGGCAATAATTAGCACTTGACCTTGACGGTGGCATGTGGATTTAACCTTTGACCTTTCAGAATTATCGTAAAGCTGTCTGCCTGATTGGCTGTGACGTGCTTCAACCATAAAAGCATGAGTGTAATAAGGTTAAATAACATTTTAGTTGGCTCTCCTAGAACCCCTGTGGATAAATTTTTGACGGCTGTTTGCTTATCAACTTCAAAATATCTCTATCTGGAACCTGCATGAAACCGGACTTTTTTCAATGAATAGACGCCGAAAAATTCTCATTACTCAGCTCAGTCACTAGCTTCATTTTGATAAGGCTGTATCTAATCTAGTGTAACTTTTTAAGTTATGGAAAACGAATCCATGAAGTGTATATTTTAGTTCGAAAGTTTTAGTAATGGATGTACGGTCTTGATATCAGAACAAAGATTAACCCCATATGTATTTTTCAGATAGGTTCATACGCTGATATGTGACATCATGTTAAGTAACTTGAAACACAATCGATTGCCAAAGTTTTTCCATGGAATGTTTCTGTATTCTCTCGGTTTTCAACTAGTCACTTATAAAGGGGCTTCTGAGTGCAAGCACTGAATTGACACAGACTTTTGAAATATCACTTTTGAATAACTGTAATAGCAGTCACGAACTGTACAACCCTCAAGCCTATATGTGCCTGAACTGATTAAGTTTGTCAATTCTGCGGACCTACAAACGCTAGCCAAGATCTAAGATAGTATATCACTCAGATGTTAGTTTCTCATCTACTGCAAATGAAACTTGGGTCATTGCATCCAGTACTATTACTGCTGCAAATTTTAAACTGGAAAAAGCTACTGAGAGCTATGTTGAATTCTCTGAGCTTGCGTGAAAGACAAAGAAAGGCGGTAATGAATATATACTGTATTGCTCGTGAAACTACTTAAATTTTCATTAGCATGAGTTCAAGTGCGGGCACCAATTATTAGCATGAGACTTTATCTTGTATGGTGTGATCACAAGAAACCCATGTCGCCTTTCACATTTGTTTGCTGGCAGAAGTCGTCTTGACCATAACCTTGTTGCTTAAAGCACACAGACCCTCCATTCTCTTTTCTTTCTTCCATTTTACATCATCCTTTAATCTGCCTAACTCCGCCAGTAGAACCTTAGGGGCTACTGCCGGTCCCAAGCCCGGGTAAAGGAGGAGGGTTGGACATGGGGTTGGCGACCCCATTCCGTCAAAAACTAACTTGCCAAAAAAACGCTAACGAGAAAAAATAATTCAAACCATTTTAACTCTGCCCTGGGAGTTGGAAGAAGAATTATGACGTCGCGTGATGAAAGCCGAGTTCCCTCGGAAGTCACGGGGCTGATGCCTCTTCTGACAACTAGAGCAACCATTTTTTTAGGTACATGGAACGTTCGTACATTGTGGGAGACTGGAAGACTAATTCAAGTTGCGGCAGAAATGAAAAGATACAACCTCGAGGTGCTTGGAATCAGTGAAACACATTGGACACAAGTAGGACAACCGAGACTAGCTTCAGGGGAACTGCTGTTATACTCTGGTCATGAAGAGGAAAATGCTTCACATACACAAGGAGTTGCATTGATGCTGTCCAAACATGCACAAAAGGCACTAATAGGATGGGAATCTCATGGACCCAGGATCATTAAAGCATCCTTCAAAACAAAGAAAGAGGACATTACAATGAACGTCATCCAATGTTATGCACCTACCAACGACTACAATGACGACGACAAAGATCAATTCTACGAAAGGCTGCAGTCAATCGTCGAGAAATGTTCACCAAAGGATTTGACGATTCTTATGGGAGACCTGAATGCCAAGGTTGGCATGGACAACACTGGATATGAAGACATCATGGGACGACATGGACTGGGAGAAAGGGACGAAAACGGTGAGAGATTTGCAAACCTGTGTGCCTTCAACAAACTGGTAATCGGTGGCACAATATTCCCGCACAAACGCATACACAAAGCTACATGGATTTCACCGGATCACACTACTCAAAACCAGATTGATCATATCTGTATCAACAAAACGTTCAGAAGGACTATGGAGGATGTGAGAACCAGGAGAGGAGCTGATGTAGCCTCAGATCACCATTTGCTAATCGCCAAAATGAAACTGAAACTAAAGAAGCACTGGACAACAGGACAGACAACATCACACAAGTTTAATACGGCCTTTCTTCGGGATACTGTAAAGCTCAACGAATTCAGGATAGCCCTCACCAATAGGTTCCAGGCATTTCAAGATCTACTCAATGGAGAGGACACAACATTGGAGAACAATTGGAAAGGGATTAAGGAGGCAATCACTTCAACATGTCAGGAGGTCCTTGATCGCAAGAAGCACAATCACAAGGAATGGATCTCTGTTGATACTCTCGCAAAAATTGAAGAAAGGAGGAACAAGAAAGCAACAATCAATGTCAGCCGAACAAGAGCGGAGAAAGTTACCGCACAAGCTGCATACACAGAAGCAAACAGGGAAGTGAAGAAGAGCATCAGAGCTGACAAACGAAAATACGTGGAAGATCTAGCAACGACGGCGGAAAAGGCTGCAAGAGACGGAAACTTGAGACAATTGTATGAAACTACAAAGAAGCTCGCCGGGAACTATCGTAAACCAGAACGACCAGTGAAAAGCAAGGAAGGCAAAGTAATCAGCAACACTGAACAACAGCGAAATATGTGGGTAGAGCACTTTAAGGAACTCCTAAATCGACCAGCTCCACTGAACACACCCAACATCGAAGCAGCATCCACGGATCTCCCAATTAATATTGGAGCACCTACGATTGAGGAGATCAGTATGGCCATCAGACAAATCAAGAACGGCAAAGCAGCAGGACCAGACAACATTCCAGCAGAGGCAATGAAAGCAGATGTAGAAGCAACTGCGAAAATATTTCACATCCTCTTCAAGAAGATTTGGGATGAGGAACAAGTACCATCAGATTGGAAAGAAGGATACCTCATCAAAATACCAAAGAAAGGCGATCTCAGCAAGTGTGAGAACTACAGAGGCATCACTCTTCTTTCAATACCAGGCAAAGTCTTCAACAGGGTATTGTTAAACTGAATGAAGGACTTCGTAGACGCCCAACTTCGAGATCAACAGGCCGGATTTCGGAAGGATCGATCGTGTACTGACCAAATTGCTACATTACGGATCATTGTGGAACAATCAATTGAATGGAACTCACCACTCTACATCAACTTCATCGACTTCGAGAAAGCATTTGATAGCGTGGACAGGAAAACACTGTGGACTCTTCTTCGACACTACGGGGT